CAGACAGGACTTGCCTGACAACTTCATGCCATAGACCTTGTTTGAGTGGCAGTTAATGACTTGTTGCTGGGTGCTGGTCATGGAGACACGAGGGTGTGTTTATACCCTGACATCCTCATCTGGGGATTGGGCTGGAGTGAACACGCCAGTGAAGTGGGCACTGCCCAACAAGCATCGTCGTTAGAGAGAAATTACTCCAAGAAAGGAGTAAGCCAGGCACCAGTGGAATCTCTTGCCTGCAGGGAGAGGTGGCCAGGCACCAGGTGTGGCTAACCCAGAGGCAGAGTCTATGCCAGCACCTTGGGGTTCTCGGGGTTCTCAGCACACTGAGGTCCCTGAGGATCTGGACCTGGTTCAAGGATGGATCTGCTGATTTGATGGCCAGCAGGGTACACTGAGTGCTGTGGCTGCCCAGCCACAAGAAGATGTTTTTTTTGTCTTTTTTTGAGACAGAGTCTCGCTTTATTGCCCAGGCTAGAGTGAGTGCCGTGGCGTCAGCTTAGCTCACAGCAACCTCAAAGTCCTGGGCTCAAGCAATCCTACTGCCTCAGCCTCTCGAGTAGCTGGGACTACAGGCATGCACCACCATGCCCGGCTAATTTTTTCTGTATATATTAGTTGGCCAATTAATGTCTTTCTATTTATAGCAGAGATGGGGTCTTGCTCTTGGTCAGGATGGTTTTGAACTCCTGAAATTGAACGATCCACCTGCCTCGGCCTCCCAGAGTGCTAGGATTACAGGCATGAGCCACCACACCCAGCCAAGAAGATGGTTTAAAATGATGCACAGAATAGGGAACCCCAGCCCCTGGGCAGGATTGCGGGCTGTGGTGCGTGGCCTGGAAAACACCTCTCCCAATGCACGTTGCTGCATTTCCTCCGACTCACGGGCAGTAGCCATGGTCTGGCAGTCCCGGGCCCAGCAGCAGGACAACTGGATAATCAACCCCAACACCTACTGCATTATGGCGATAGATGGAGTGGGACACATTCCAATGGGGATGCCCACGGAAGAGGACTCTTTGACCATGACCATCAGTGAAACCAGCAACCTGGTCAGAACCACACTGCCCAGGTGAAAATCACTGCCACCTGGATACGCCATCACGCAGCACACAGCACTTCCTCCAGGGCTAGGTGCGAAACAAGGTCTAGTGATCCAAGCACGTGAGCCCAAAGAAGCCTGCCTAATGTGCCAGGAGTTGCACAGTTGAGTAGCTGCTCAGTTGAGTAGCAAAGGGAGCTCCGAGCACAAAGTCTGACTCCAGGGCACCTAACCTGGCTGGTCCTGATGAATAGACTATATGGGCCTCCTATTTTCTTCTTGAGGACACCACTGAATGTTGACAGCAATTGACAGCTTTTTCCGTGTATGGCACAGCGATTCCCATCTGCACAGTGTGTGGGCCATGCTATTCAAGGACTCCTAAGTGGACTATGTTGTGTATTTGGGGTCTCCAAATCCACATCCAATCGGGACAAGGATGATGCCTTTGTAACCAAGAGTCCCCAGCAGTGGGGAACTAGCTGGGGCTGTCACTGCAATGCTCCATATCACCAACAGGTGGTGGTGTCAACAAAAGATGGAACAGACTCCTGCAACTATAAACTATAGAAGGCGAGTGGACAGCCAACGGTCAGCTTCTGAAGGAACACACACTTAGTGTGAATTCTGAATGTGGCAGTTCCCAGGAAGGGGAGTTCTCGTTTGCATAGAATGTTTAACTAGAAGGTCGGGATGGGGAGAAGAGGCCCCACGGACGGCAAGAGACCCGAACCACTTGTTTAATCCTTCCCTCTCTTCCCTTTTCCCTCCCATGCCCACCTCCAGGAAGTTAGGCTACTGGAAACTACAGTGGTGTAGACGAGCTGGGGATTGGAGATTCTAACCTGGTGCTTCTCTCACTGCCCCACCAAACACAAACCAGTATAGACGCTGCAGCGTGAGTGGGGATAGACAGTCGTACTGCCCTGGGCTTCATGTTGGCCAGTCAAGGAAGTGTATGTGTGATTGCCAACACCGCCCGCTGCACTAGAATCAATGAATCAGGAAAGATGGAGCGGTCTCTCTCTTCATTTGGAGAGGAAGCAGGGTGGGGCTAAGGTCAATTCCCAGTGGCATTTGGGACACAGCTGGCTGGGTTCCCACAGGGAGCCTGGCTGTGGCCTGTCTTCCAAGCGGGCCTGCACATCCTGCTGGAGCCATGGTTGTGGTCACTGTCATGGAATGTTCTTTAAGGCAGATAGAAAGGATTTGATCCAAGCTCCCGTTAGTACAATTAATTGGGCTATCTGATAAGGTGGCCTAGGATCCTGAAAATTGGTCTTAGCTGCACATATGAAAGGTTTGGTGGCAGGAGGGGGTGGAGTTGTAGGGGACAGCTATGACACAGCACCGTGACGACCTTGCACAGCTCCCTGCAGACCACACAGGCAAGACCGGACTGTAGTCTGACCCTAGTCTTGGCAGAATGCACTGCGATTCCTCCTGGAGCAAGGGGAGACCGGCCGCCTACAGAGGAGCCTCTACCTCGTGGGACATTGCCACAGGGCCATTTCCCAGCCCTCTCCCCACTTTCAGCTGAGTGCAGGGCTTTCCACCTGGCCCCTGCCCCCCTTAGAGTCAGCTGCAGGCCATAAAACTGCTTGGCCATAATTTAGAATTGGCCCCTTAGCTGCAGAGTGACCTACTACCATGTCTCCTGTCACCTGGTCCCTCCAATTCAGTGTCATCCTGTGGAACTGGGGTGCAAGAAGCTAACACCATGCTGGTCTTGCTTTTGCTGTGTAAGTAATAAGCTATGCAATCCATTTCAGCTTGCTGTGTCCTGATTGGCTGAATCCATAGAAGTGTGGCAGCCCACCTAGTGGCTACAGTAGCAATCCTTGTGGCCCTGTGCTTAGCAACTGCTTGGCCACTTGACAGAAAGGAAACTTTTTTTTTTTTTTGAGACAGAGTCTCACTCTGTTGTCCAGGCTAGAGTGAGTGCCGTGGCATCAGCCTAGCTCACAGCAACCTCAAATTCCTGGGCTCAAGCAATCCTCCTGCCTCAGCCTCCCGAGTAGCTGGGACTATAGGCATACTCCACCATGCCCAGCTAAGTTTTTAAATATTTTTAGTTGGCCAATTAATTTCTTTCTGTTTTTAGTAGAGATGGGGTCTCGCTCTTGCTCAGGCTGGTCTCAAACTCCTGAGCTCAAAGGATCCGCCCACCTCAGCCTCCCAGAGTGCTAGGATTACAGGCGTGAGCCACCGCGCCCTGCCGAGAGGAAATTTTGGGTAGATGGGGATGTCCTATGTTTTGATCTCGGTGATGATTATATTTGTGTATACATTTGTCAAAACTCATCAAGCTGTACACTTAAGATTTGTGCCACATACTGTATGTTATACCTCCAGTTTTAAAAAAGAACCATCAGGGCGACTTCCGGGGCCCCGCTCTTGGGGCCCCAGAACCTCGTCCAAAAAAAAAAAAAAAAAAAGAAAAAGAAAAAAGAATAAAAAAGAACCATCAGAGAACAAACAAAAGTTCTTGGAAATTAAGATCATATCCAAAATTATTAACAGACTTTCAATAGAAGGATTGGAATGTAAATCTCCCAGAACACAGGCAATACATGAAAAGATGCAGAGGATGATGAACTCAGTCTAGATCCAACGCCTTCATGGCAGGGATTGGCCAGTACACAAAGCTGGAAAGCTATTACTGCTGGCAATAAAACAAATGGGGGTTAAATAATGGGATGGCATTTTGAATCTGGCTAATAAACAGAAAAATTGTTTAAGCAATATTCAGTGGTTTGTTATTGATGGTGTAAACTGGTGCAAGTTTGGGGGGAGCAATAGAATGCCAAGTGTCATCAGCCGTATGGGTCCTTCTCTTTTGCCCAGGGAACCTCACTGCTGCAAATTCATCCCAAATTAATGTCTTTATCTGTTTGGGCAGTTATAACAAAGTGCCACAGAGTGGGTAGTGTATCAAGAACAGAAATTTATTTCTCACAGCTCTGGAGGCTGGGAAGTCCAAGATCCCGGCACGCGCAGACTCGGTGTCCCCCGAGGGACCACTTTGGGGTTCACAGATGGCACCTTCCAGCCGAGTTCCCACTCGGTGGAAGGGGCTGACTGGTTATTTTTTGAGGGCGCTAATCCCATTCGTGAGGGCTCTGCCCTCCTAATCCAATCACTTCCCAAAGGCACACCACCTCGTATCACTTGACGGGTCAGGAGTTCAACATATGAATTTTGGGGGTGCACAGATGATATAAGATAAAAATTGCAAAAGAAGACAAACGGGGAGTTCATGGAGATGTTCATTGCAGTATCGTTTATTATGCTGCAAGACGATAAACAACCTAGATGCCCAGTAAAAGGAGAACCACCAAGAAAGGTGTATGTCCTGTTCCCCGTGTGGTCGGAAACAGAGCAGAGCCAGGGCACCCTTGGCGGAGACGCGTCAGTGCACACAGCTGCGGCCGGCGGGGTGGGGGGATGGGGGGGCCTGGCCGGGCGAGGCTGCGGGAAGCGCACCCCGCTGTCCGGCTGGTGCAGAGGCGGGGAACGTACCGCCTCTGTCTGGTGGCGAGCTTACTCTAGCGGACTCGGAAGAAATCAAGTTGCGTGTCCCTCCCGGAGGCCCCGCAGCGCGCCAGGGCCCGGCCCGCGGCTGCGCGCTGCGGCCCCGCGTCGTCCGGCATCCGGCACCGGGTCTGCGGGCAGCGGGCGGGCGCGGGCGCGGGAGGCCGGCCGGGCGGGCCGCGGCGGCCCAGCTCCCGCCATCTCGCGGGGCGCACGCAGGCGGCGGCGGGGGCGGCCGGGGCCGGGCGACGCGGGGGCGCGGCACGGCTGTCCCCGCCCGCAGCTGCTCTGCCGGGCGGCCGGGAGGGGCGGCGGAGCGCGCGGGGCGGGCGCGGCGGACGCCGCGGCGGTTCTGGCCGGCGGGAGCGCGGCTGCGCGCGGAGCCGGGGACGGGTGGGCGGGCGCCGCCTTCGCCTGCGTCGCGGCCTGCGCGCGGGCCGTCGCCCCCGGGCATGCGAGGCGGCAGCTCGGCCGGTGGGCCCGGAGCGGCGCTGAGGCCGGCGGCGGACGGTAACGGGCCTGGCGGGCGCGGGGAGGGCTCCGGCTGCCCGGCCCGGGTCGGGCTTGGACGGCAGGAGCGCGAGCGGCGCTGCGGGTCCGGGAGGCGCTGGAGGGCCCGGAGGCTGGGACCGGCCGCCGTAGTTAGGGTCCCCGGGGCCGCAGAGTCGGGGAGGGTCGGGGGACCGGGGTGGGGGTTGGGCCGGCGGAGAGGCGGCCGAAGAGCCGGCGCAGGTGCCTGCCCTCCTGTGAGGTCCAACTCTCTCTCCCCAGCTCTACCCACTTTGGCCTGGACCCAATCTCCAAGGGCTAAAAATATTGCCCGGAGGCTCCTGAGCGGAATCAGATCGCGCTAAGTAGGGCACAGCGGAGAGGCGACAAAGCTCCTGGGCCCCAGGGCCCGCGGAGCAGACTCTGGAGCGCGGTCCCGCCCACGGGCGCATCAGCGCTGGCCCCTGCCGGCAGGTGAGCGGCCCCGGGCGCCGGTCTTCTGAAGTCGCCCCACGACCGAGCAGCTGTGCCCGCCCGGGCGTCTCCCTGCCCAGGGGACCTTCAGTGTCACCGCAGGCTTTCCAGGGGTCCCTCGATGCCCTACGAACCACAGCTGGAAGTTTCCCGCTGCAAGAATCACTGTACTAACAGGTAGAGAATGTAGGACTCGCTTTATGTTAGAAACATAGTAACTCTCTTCTTCTTTTTATAAAAAAGAAATTCATTCTGTATCTCTTACTGAGAGAGGATCTGTGCCAGGCTGTTTTATGTGAGCACCAGTCTGACCCAACAGGGCAGGGAGAAAGGCTTTCTTGTCAGTCTCTTTGGGCCCTGCCTGCACCTTTAAATCAAACAAAATAGCGGCCTTTGATTCATCTGAAAGCAGACACACAGCCCAGGAGCCTGAACAGGCACCGCCTGTAGGCCGGGAGCTCAGGTCAGCAGGTTGTGTTGGCGAAGTCTGGAGTCAGAGCTGGGGCTCTGTTATCCCGACCCCCACTTTTTTGTGGTGGGGATAGCATCAGCTAGGGGGAGTATCATCTGTACCCTAGGGGCAGAGCTGCCACCAGGACCAGGCAGGGACCAGCCCTAGACGTGAGTCTTGGCCAGGATAATAAGATCAAGGTTGGGTCAGGAGCCACAGCTAGTGCTGGGATCTGAGGCTTGGAAGTTTGCTTTTTACTGGAGTCAGGCAAATAGGTCTTCCTCAGGAGCAGCCCCGGGGAAGGCACCGGGGCCTGTGGCGGGAAGACCACCAGAGGGACCGCGCTCGCTGACACTGCAGACGCTGTCCTTCCTGCCAGGTGTGTGTGGAGGCCAGCATGAAGCTGAAGAAGCAGGTGACGGTGTGTGGGGCTGCCATCTTCTGCGTGGCCGTCTTCTCCCTCTACCTTATGCTGGACCGAGTGCAGCATGATCCCACCCGACACCAGAACGGCGGGAACTTCCCCCGGGTGAGTCACGCCCGGCTGCTGGTTTCCCGCATCCGGGCTCAGGTTATAACCCTGCTGGAGAGTCCTGTCCTCGCAGGACAGGAACGACCCTTCCCAGTCGGCAGGTTTTTCAGAAACCCAAAGCTAAAAACAGTGACGGCAAGAAGGAAGAAAAAAAAATGGCAGTGTGTATCGCCGCTCTGTCCTCCTGAGTTCTTGGCAGACATTGCTAATTGATTGCAGCATTCTTTCCCATTAAGCCCTGATGCAATCCTCAGCCCGGCGCTCCAGGCAGGCGACCCAGGTTGTTGAGAGTAGGTATGTGACGTGGAAGCTTTGCCATCCACGAGCTAGAGAGCGGGTTCCCGTCCTCAGTGGTGACGTGCACACCTCCCCTTATCTGGCCAGCACCGTCCGAGCCTGTAGACTCACGGTCTGGCTTCGACTGAGGAGGGAAGGATCACAGTCAAGTCTCAGGTGGTGGACCCCAAGCAGGGACCCGTCCCTGTGGCATTAGGAGCTGTGGGTGACAGCTTTCTGGTCTTTCGGCAGAGCCAAATTTCTGTGCTGCAGAACCGCATCGAGCAGCTGGAGCAGCTGTTGGAGGAGAACCATGAGATTATCAGCCACATCAAAGACTCCGTGCTGGAGCTGACAGCCAACGCGGAGGGCCCGCCCGCCCTGCTGCCCTACTACACAGTCAACGGCTCCTGGGTCGTGCCACCAGAGCCCCGGCCCAGCTTCCTCTCCATCTCCCCTCAGGACTGCCAGTTTGCTTTGGGGGGCCGGGGCCAGAAGCCAGAGCTGCAGGTAAGAGCCAGAGCTGGCAGGGGCCCGCGTGGCTGTGGGTGGGGCGCTGAGCTGCCTTCCTGCCTGGCAGATGCTCGCCGTGTCAGAGGAGCTGCCATTTGACAACGTGGACGGCGGCGTGTGGAGGCAGGGCTTTGACATCTCCTACGGCCCGCACGACTGGGACGCCGAAGACCTGCAGGTGTTCGTGGTACCCCACTCTCACAATGACCCAGGTGAGGGTCCCGCCGGCCCTTGGGAGCTCGGGTGTGAGTGGGCTTTCTGATGGTCGGCGTAAGGGGGGACAGTTGGAGAAGACGGGGGTGTCCTCAGGGGACCCTGCGTTGGCTCCCCAGGCTGGATCAAGACCTTCGATAAGTACTACACGGAGCAGACCCAGCACATCCTCAACAGCATGGTGTCCAAGCTGCAGGAGGACCCGAGGCGGCGCTTCCTCTGGGCGGAAGTCTCCTTCTTCGCCAAGTGGTGGGACAACATCAACGCCCAAAAGAGAGCAGCAGTCCGAAGGCCAGTGCCAGTCGGGGAGGCACGGGAGGGCTGCCGTCTGAGCCTGAGGCTGTGCGGGCAGGTGTTGGGTGGGTGCCAGGGTGGCAGGAGGGGGCACAGGGAACCACGGCAGAGATGAGGAGTGATGGCCGAGGGGGAGAAGGCGAGAGCTGATTTGAAGGTCGCCGGCGTTAGAGAAATCACAGTTGTCTGAGCATAAGCAAAGAGGAAGCGCGGGGCTTCCCCGTGGAGGCACGGGTGGAGGGCTGGAGACAGCAGGGCCGGGAGAGGAGGGCCACGTGTGTTCTCTTGGTCTTGGGTTCGGGTGGACTGGCTCCGAGAGGCCCTGACATCTTCTGGTGGTCAGGACTGGGCAAAGGGTCCCCGCCCCACAATGAGTGTGCGTCCTTAACCGCAGGCTGGTGGGAAACGGGCAGCTGGAGATTGCCACAGGAGGCTGGGTGATGCCGGACGAGGCCAACTCCCACTACTTCGCGCTGATTGACCAGCTCATCGAAGGACACCAGTGGTTGGAGAGAAACCTTGGTAAGTCCGGGCCCAGAGTGTCATGGCGGGACACCGTACAGCACGGGCACTGGCAGGGAGTGGTTGCATTCCAGGCTGATTCGACCAGTGCGGCAGGTGCGACAGCATCTGTCCACGGCCTGTGAAGCGTTCAGGGCCTCTCTGGCTCCCGTGCCCTGCCCAGGTGCAGCCCCACGCTCTGGCTGGGCAGTGGACCCCTTTGGACACAGCTCCACCATGCCTTACCTGCTCCGCCGTGCCAACCTGACCAGCATGCTGATCCAGAGGGTGCACTATGCCATCAAGAAGCACTTTGCTGCCACCCACAGCCTGGAGTTCATGTGGAGGCAGACATGGGGTAAGGCCAGGTAGGGTGGCGGGGTTACCGCAGCGTGGTCTTCCCCGGGGAAGAGCAGGGATATCAGAAACAGGACCCCCACTGCCCTTCAGAGCAGGCCCACAGGCGCTGGCACGGGCTGCCACAGGTGGTCTCGCCACTTCTGGCCTCAGGGTAGGGGAGGATCACACGGACCTCTGGCATTGGAGGGGCTGCCGTCTGTGCCGGGGGCCTCAGCCTGGCCTGTGTGCACCCCCTGGAGGAGCTGTGGGCTCCAGGGTCCCCCCGTGTTCTGCCCCCGGCCTGCACGTCCTCTCCAGCCTTGAGTCCGGCCACAGCCTCGCCGCCCGCCAGGGCTGCCTTGGCCCAAGCAGGTCCTGACGTCCCCGCGCCCAGCTCCAGGGGCTGCGGAGCTGCTGGAGGCTGACGTGCGGTGCGTCTTCTGCAGACCCGGACTCCAGCACAGACATCTTCTGCCACATGATGCCCTTCTACAGCTACGACGTCCCTCACACCTGCGGTCCCGATCCCAAGATCTGCTGCCAGTTTGATTTCAAACGCCTGCCCGGTGGGCGCATCAACTGCCCTTGGAAGGTGCCCCCCCGGGCCATCACAGAGGCCAACGTGGCAGAGAGGTATCTGCCGCCAGCCCCGGGCTGGACGCGGTGTCTCGGTCTTGCTCCACAGGGGACCTGCCACGCGGGGGTTGCGTGGTGCAGGCCACGTTTAGGAAATGCAGGGCGGGCTCGGGTGGTGAGTTCAGGCCTGTAGCAGCTGCGGCGGTGGCTCCTTACTAAGTCTCCTTGAAGACCCAGAGTGGCTCTCGGCAGCCACCTTTCCCAGAATGCCTTTGTTTTTCGAAATGAGTATGTCTTCCGATGGCCTGACAGATTGCCCGGGCCAGTTGCATAACTCAGAAGTGAATGATTCTCAAATTAGGACTAGTTCCTTGCAAATGTGAGATTAAATGTGCCTTCACTTAGCCCAGGTGTTCTGACTTGGCTGTGAGTTGGCCGGGACCCTCAGCGTGCAGTGGGCCTGGAACCCCGTTCAGATCCGCCTGTGGCCCCAGCAGACGGCCTCCAGCCTCTGGGAAAACGGACTGTTCCTTTTGAGGGGCCCCTAAAGATGTCACTCTTGCTGAAATCTGCCCCCCGGGGAAAGTGCTGGCTAAGAGTAAACGGCAGTTGAGCCAGAGCCTCGGCTAGAACAAGTAGAACTGGTTTTCGTGTTGCCATGCTCTGATTTCCATGATGTCCAAGAGGTGAAACATGTGACCAAAAGGGAAAGAAAGTGGTCTTTTGTTTCCAGAAATCTAAATGCTGATTCCAGGCAAGAATCTAGGCTATTTGGGCCTCATTGTTCTGAGAGCAGCCGCTGTGATGAGGGAGGCTAGCCCAGCCTTACAGAGAACAGGCCGGGAGAGAGAAGTTAATTTTCTCCTTCGAAAGTCTTAGGAGACTGGCGAATTGGGGAAAGTGGCATTGAATTAGGGACAGAGTCCTCTCCTGAGAACACAGTAGAAAAGTGTAAGCTAGGCCAGCGCCGTTAAGAAGATTAGTGACTGGGCCGGTTAATAGGCTGGTCTAAAGACAGGAAGGGGCTTCTAATTATGTGCTACGGGCCTCTATTTTTCTGTTGACTTTGCCAATAATTCGAATGAAAAAGAAAATAATTTCTGTTTATATATAGTTTCCATTATGTGCCAGGCACTGATCTAAGTGCTTGATAAATACTTGTTTATTTTTGTTTGTTTGTTTGTTTTTTGAGACAGAGTCTCTCTTTGTTGCCCAGGTTAGAGTGAGTGCCGTGGCGTCAGCCTAGCTCACAGCAACCTCAAACTCCTGGGCTCAAGCAATCCTCCTGCCTCAGCCTCCCGAGTAGCTGGGATTACAGGCATGGGCCACCATGCCCGGCTAATTTTTTTCTATGTATATTAGTTGGCCAATTGATTTCTTTGTATTTATAGTAGAGATGGGATCTCGCTCTTGCTCAGGCTGGTTTTGAACTCCTGACCTGGAGCAATCCGCCCACCTCAGCCTCCCAGAGGGCTAGGATTACAAGCGTGAGCCACCGCACCCAGCCCATTTCATTTTAATTCTCGTAACATTCTGTGGGTACATGCTGATGCCATCCTCATTTTACCGGAAACTGAGCTCAGAGAGGTTAAGTTACTTGCCCAAGGCCACCCAGCTAGTACGTGCAGAGCTGGTGCTGGTGTCACGTGGCTCTGGAGTCCAGGCTGTTCTGTGCTGTGTGTGCAGCGCCAGTCACTGGTGGGCAGAATGACGCTGGAGTATCAGAACCACGATCCCAGACAGGTTGGGATGTGGATCAAATCTAACCACGTGAGATTTATTAGATATAAACGCAAGGTTCTTCCCTTAGCTTCAGAAAACCGAGCATGAAAGCTCAGGGCAATAGAAGGCACCTTGCTGAGCCACATGCGCAGAGAACAGGGCGACTGGCAGGTACACCTCGGGGTGACAGCGGGGCTGCCGCAGTGCCTGGGCACACGCACGCTGCTCCCATGGCGGTGCCGGCCTCCCCCCAGGGGGTGCGATTCTGTCTTCCCTTTGGGGGTTGGCCTGTTCTGGACCCCCGTGTCCAGCGCTAGTCCCTGACTCAGGGACAGTGGCCACAGAGCCACCGGCCAGCGGATTCTAAATTGTCATGTAGGGACTAGACAGAGGAGCAGAAAGCTCAGGAGGACGACAGCGCGTCCCCAACGTGTCTGAGGATGACTACGGGGAAGAGGACTGGTTGGTTCCATGTGGTGTCAGAGGGCACAAGCGGGGGTCAGGGGTTGGAAGCTGTCGGTCACAGCCTAGCACAAGAAAGAACTCTGGTTGTCGGAACTGTCCGGAGGACACTGGGCTCCCCTGGGGCCGGGTTTCCTATCTCAGGAGGGCCCCCCTGCGGGCTGAACGACTCCCCCATACGGCGGTTTCAGTTGGCTCTTGGAGTGTCTCTGCTTGGTGACCTGTTATGGCGGGGACTTCAGGGTGGCCGTGTCTTCTCCTGCCCCAGGGCGGCCCTGCTCCTGGACCAGTACCGGAAGAAGTCCCGGCTGTTCCGAAGCAACGTCCTCCTGGTGCCGCTCGGCGATGACTTCCGGTACGACAAGCCCCGAGAGGTGGAGTGCCCAGTTCTTCAACTACCAGCGGCTCTTTGACTTCTTCAACAGCAGGCCCGACCTCCACGTGCAGGTGGGGGCGGCTCCTGCCCGGGGCCTCCGCGGGGCTGCGGCCCGGCCCATTGCTCCCGTGCCCAGCTCCAAAGTGGAGGGTCCCTCCAGCTCTTGCGCAGGGCTCCCTGTCGGGTCGGAATTCACTCCCGGGTCCCCCCCGCTTCTCTGCTAGGTCCGGAAGGGTGGGGTGTGCAGTGCCCGCCTCGCCCCAGCTGCGCACCGGTGGCCAGAATCCCCGGGAGGTTCTGGAACTGATGGCAGGGGGTCGTTGGGGTTCCCACAGGCCCAGTTTGGCACCCTCTCTGACTATTTTGACGCTCTGTACAAGAGGACCGGGGTGGAGCCAGGGGCCCGGCCTCCAGGCTTTCCTGTGCTGAGCGGGGATTTCTTCTCCTACGCGGACCGGGAGGATCACTACTGGACAGGCTACTACACTTCCCGGCCTTTCTACAAGAGCTTGGACCGGGTCCTGGAGGCCCACCTGCGGTGAGATGGGCCTTTGAGTCCAGAGTAGCCCTTTGGGGTGCGGGGGGGGGGGGCGGGTGGGGGGCAGGATGGCAGGGCGGCCCAGATGGGCGGGCGGGGGGGAGCGGCGGTGGGAGCTCACGCGCTCTCCGGGCAGGGGGGGCAGAGATCCCTGTACAGCCTGCGCCGTGGCGCACGCCCGCCGCGCCGGGCTGGCCGGGCAGTACCCTGTCCGACGTCTCACCCTCCGTGACGGAACTCGGCGCACCCCTGGGCCTTCCAGCCACAGACGCCATCACCGGCACCAGCCAAGCGAGACCACGTGGCTGAATGGACTACGGGGTCAGGTGGGGCCTCCTCTCCCCGTCAGCTCCACAGCCCCCGCCGCCCAGAGGAAGGACGTGGCGGGTGGGCAGGCCTGCGCGGCCCCCGCTCTCACTGTCTCACTCGCCCGCCCCCAACTCAGGCTCGCTGCGCGCGCGCGTTGTGCAGGCCTGAAGCAGGTCATCGTCAACGCGGCTCACTATCTGGTGCTGGGGGACAAGGAGGCCTACCACTTTGACCCCGAGGCGCCCTTTCTCAGCGTGAGGCCGCACCTGCTGGGGGGGCCGCCCTGGCCATGTGCGTCCAGGGCACAAGAGTGGCAGAAGAGGGTCGCGCGGTTTTTCACCGAGCCCGGGGGCGACCTGTGCTCCCAGGGCAGCTGGGCGGCCCCGTCCAGCACAGGCCGGGGGGAGGTTAGAAGGAAGGGCGAGCCCCATGGGTGACGTCTTCCCTTCCGGCCCGCCTGGTCCGCAGCGGATGGACACCCGCCTCAAGTCAGCGACGACCCCTGCCGGAGCGCACGCGTGATCCACGCGGACTCCTCAGCCCAGGTGGCCGCGGGCCAGGCCGGGCGCAAGAGAGGCAAAGCCGCGCCGCCCGGCGTCTCGCCCCTCCCGGCCCCAAGTTGTCAGGGATCACGGCAAGGACCGTGCGTGCCTCTGGCCACCGTATCTGCTTCCCTACCGGCCCGGAGCCGGCCCGCCTCCCCTGGTTCAGTTCTCCCGCCTCCTGCGCACCAGGTTTGTGGTGCCTGTTTCAATTCTCTCCGTGGTACGACAGGAGCGGGCCTCAGTGCGTGGTGTCCCCTGCTGGTCAACTCGCCCATGACTTTGCGCGTTTTCCTTTCGGATGGACTGTTCCTAGCTCTCTGGCTGCTGTTTTTGCTAGATCAGTTTGTCGGCGCTGGAGCTGCTGCACCCGTCGAGGCGTGGTCCCCGGCGTCTACCAGGTGATGCGGAGCTGCCGGCAGGTGGCGCCCGGGCCCAGCCCTTCTGTGCCCGTCTTTGGCCCCGCCCGCCCGGGACTCCACTGTGCCCACGGAGCCCAGCTTCCCGCCCTCCTGCCGGTGGCCCTGCTCACTCCCCAGGTGAGGGCAGGCGTCCTGGGGAGAGATTGCCCAGAGGAAGGTCACTCCTGGGATTGGAGGGTGTCCCTGAGAGCAAGGAGAAGGTTGGTCTGGTAACGACAGTAGCAAAAGTAGCAGTTATAATGCCCTGTCTGTCATTCATTCAACACTCATTGAAAGCTTAATGTGTGGTGCCACTTCATAGTTTTTCTTTTCTTTTTTTTTTTTATAAAAGGCGGGGGTCGGGGGCAGAGTAAGGTTCCATTTCCTTTTCTTTTATTTTTTTTTTGAGTCAGAGTCTCACTCTGTCACCCTGGGTGGAGTGCAGTGGCATCGTCATAGCTCACTGCAGCCTCAAACTCCTGGGCTCAAGTGATCCTCCTGCCTCAGCCTCCAGAGTAGCTCGGACTACAGGTGCACACCACCATGCCCGGCTAATTTTTCTATTTTTTGTAAAGACGAGGTCTCGCTCTTGCTCAGGCTGGTCTCAGACTCCTGAGCTCAAGCGATCCTCCCGCCTCGGCCTCCCACAGTGCAAGGATTACAGGCGTGAGCCACAGCGCCCGGCCATAGTTTTTCGAATATCCTTCGAGAGTCATAAATTTAGTCTGATGAGGACAAAGGGGCAAGTAATCCCACCCCCACTGTCAGGAGGGGACAGAGGTCCCGCGTCAGCAAGCAAGTGCCTGGGCCCCAGAATCCCAGGCCCGCGTCCAGGAGTGAAGCCCAGGCGTGGCACCTGCCTCCTCACCCCCCACCCCTGTGCCCGCAGGTGTCTGTGCCCATCCGCCTGCCGGCCCTGGGCCTGGGTGTGCTGCAGCTGCACCTGGGCCTGGACGGGCACCGCACGCTGCCCTCGTCCGTGCGCGTCTACCTGCACGGCCGGCAGCTGCCCGTCAGCAGGCACGAGGCCTTCCCGCTCCGCATCGTCGACTCGGGCACCAGCGACTTCGCGCTCAGCAACCGATACATGCAGGTCTGGTTCTCAGGCCGCACTGGGCTCCTCAAGGTAAAGGCCAGGGGCCGGAGCAGCGGGCGTCGGTGGGGCGGGGCAGCGCTGCCCCTGACTGACCGGCCGTGGGCCGTCGGGGCTCCGAGCCGGCGGCGCGGGGAAGCCGGCGCGGCTCCTTGGGGAAGTCCGCCGCGCCCTCCCAGGAGGCAGGCCTGACACGCCACTGTGGGGCCAGGGGTCAGGGCTATGTTTCTTGGCAGAGCATCCGAAGGGTGGACGAGGAGCAGGAGCAGCGGGTGGACATGGCGTTCCTCGTCTACGGCACCCGCACGTCCAAAGACAAGAGCGGAGCCTACCTCTTCCTGCCCGACGGCGAGGCCAAGGTACCCTAGAGGCACCTCAGAAGACCCGGCAGGCCCTGGGGGTCTCAGCACGGAGAAGGCGGGGGAGGGAGCAAAAGCCTTTGTCCCGCCTCGGTGGCCTCTGGGGGGCGGGGGGCTGGGCCCCCGCTCAGCCCAGGGTGGGGCCAGAGCTCGCTGGGAATGAGGACTCCTCTTGCCCAAGCCTGGGCCGGCCCCGCCCTGCGTGGCTCTCTTGCCGTGGGTTCAGCAGCCACCTGCCCTTCCCCCAGCCCTACGTCCCCAAGGAGCCCCCCGTGCTGCGTGTCACCGAAGGCCCTTTCTTCTCGGAGGTGGTTGCATACTACGAGCACGTTCACCAGGTGGTCCGGCTTTACAACCTGCCAGGTGAGCCCTGCGGACGAGGAGGGATTCCGAAAGGAGGTGTGGGCTCCACAGGCTGTGATACCTTCCTCCTCTGCCCCTTGTCCGTGTGCGCATCTGTTCCCAGCACGTGTGTCCTTTCCGATAGGGAGGCTTAATTCTCCTGGAGGAAGGGCCGTGCAAAACTGCCCTGGGAATGCCCCAGGAGGGTGGGCGAAGCCTCGCCCCAGCCCGGCTCGAGTCCTCCCGGCCCCGGCCCTCGGGCTGTGGCTTGTTCTCACACCTCACGTTGTCCCTGTGCCCAGGGGTGGAGGGGCTGTCTCTGGACATGTCGTCCCTGGTGGACATCCGGGACTACGTCAACAAGGAGCTGGCCCTGCGCATCCACACAGACATCGACAGCCAGGGCACCTTCTTCACAGACCTCAATGGCTTTCAGGTGACCCTGGGCTGGGGCCAGGGAGACCCCGCAGAGCAGAACTTGGGCTGTGTCGTTCGCCTGGTTTGCCTCCCCCGCGGGCGCTGGGGGTGGTCCGCCCTGATGGGAAAAAGGAATCGAGGCGAGAGCGATCGGGGACTCCTTCAGACTGGGGACCCCTCGGGGCCCAAGTGGCGCCCACGAGCCCTTGACCTGCTGGCCTTGCCCCGCAGGTGCAGCCCCGGCGGTACCTGAAGAAGCTGCCGCTGCAAGCCAACTTCTACCCCATGCCGGTCATGGCCTACGTCCAGGACGCGCGGTGGCGGCTCACGCTGCACGCTGCGCAGGCCCTGGGCGTGTCCAGCCTCGGAGACGGTGAGTGGGAGAGCAGCGCCGCCGCGGGTGTGGGGCAGGAGGACAAACCACCCCCTCCGCCTCGCCCCTGTCCTGCCTGCGTCGCCGCCACGCTGGCAGAAGGGGCAGGCCATTCCCGGGCCCCATGGTCACCCCAGGGCACAGTGGGAGGCGGCAGTCGCTGCCGTCCTGGCCCCAGTGGAGGCAGAGGGTGGTGAGTGTCTTGTCGGATCCTCTCAAGAAGCATCAGGTAGCCAGGCGCGGTGGCTCACGCCTGTAATCCTAGCACTCTGGGAGGCCGAGGTGGGAGGATCGCTCGAGGTCAGGAGTTCAAAACCAGCCTGAGCAAGGGCGAGACCCCGTCTCTACTATAAATAGAAAGAAATTAATTGGCAAACTAATAAATATAGACAAAATCAGCCGGGCATGGTGGCGCATGCCTATATTCCCAGCTACTCGGGAGGCTGAGGCAGGAGGATCGCCTGAGCCCAGGAGTTTGAGGTTGCTGTGAGCTAGGCTGACGCCACGACACTCACTCTAGCCTGGGCAACAAAGCAAGACTCTGTCTCAAAAAAAAAAAATTATCAGGTGCCGAATGGTGATTCTCAGCTAAGGCGTGCGACCCTCGCCTGGCCAGGGATGACAGTAGGGACGGTTTGAAAGTGTGCTCAATGTTATAATGAAATGTTTAGGAATGGAGAAAAATTCACATGGTTTTCCTAGTAATGGTCATTAAACGAGAGGGTGACAAAACAAGAGCATAAGGAGCACCAGCCTGGGGTCGGAACTGGCTGCCTGGGCCGCTCCAGGCGGGTCCCACAGCCTTCAGGGCAAAATGAGCAGTTTGGACTTGGCAGCCTCTGAGGCTTGAGATCCTCTGTCCCTGGGACAGAGCCTGGTCAAGGCCGTGTGTGTGGCCTGGTGGCTGGTGTGGGGGCCAGACTCGCTGCAGAGCCAGGGTGGGGTGTGGCCCTGCCAGGAGCAGCCCGTCCACCCCTTGACCCCTGTGCCAGGGACCCGTGTTAGGGTTTGGGACATCTTCCTGTGATTGCTCAGGGTAAAAGACAGCCACTGGGGAAGTCAGAGTGAGGGCTGGGGAAGGGGAGGGGAGGGGAGGGCATCTGGCCTATAGCGTGTGGGAGACGGGGTGTGGCCCCCAAGAGCCTGCAGAAAAGGTGCTGGGAAAATCCTCCCCCCAACATCTGCCAGCTGTGCAGCCGGCCCCGTCCCCCCCCCCCCAGTCTCAGCGAGAAAGCAGAGGCGGTCCTCTGCCCAGGTGCCACCTACCCGGTGTCTGCCTGCCTTGCCATGCGGCTGTCCTAGCCGCAGCCCTGCTCCGGAGACGGGGCAGCGGAGCTGCAGTCCGGCCTGCCGGGTGCTCTGGCTGCCTCGGGAGAACGGGCGGGAGAGCATGTGTTTGCGTCGTGATAAAATCTGCCCTTGGCCGGGCGTGGTGGCTCACGCCTGTAATCCTAGCACTTTGGGAGGCCGAGGCGGGCGGATTGCTCAAGGTCAGGAGTTCAAAATCTGCCCAACTGGTGAAAACCTGCCCGATGAGGGAGTCCGCAGCCACTCTATGGCTGCTGATTTCGGCGTTTTGTTTGCTCGTTCATTTACTTTCATGTAGCCAGTGTCAGTATAGTTTCCTGCCTGGGTGCCTGGGCCCAGTCCCCACTCCCGAGCACCAGAGCTTGGGGTGGTGAACTGTGGGGTCAGCATGCCCCTCGGGGCTTCCGTGTCCTCATCTGTAAAACAAGGGCGCGGGCCGCCCTTCCCGCAGCTCCGGGATCCCGTGACGTCTTTCCCTCCCCCCTGACTCAGCTCCTTGCTCATCTCACTGTGCTTGTCCCCCAGGGCCTGGTGGGGCTTCTCCTTGCCAAGGTCAGGGCCTGCCTGGGGCTGGGGTGGCAGGCCGGGCTCACAGTGCGCTCCCGCAGGCCAGCTGGAGGTGATCCTGGACCGGCGACTGATGCAGGATGACAACCGGGGCCTAGGCCAGGGGCTCAAGGACAACAAGAGGACCTGCAACCGGTTCCGCCTGCTGCTGGAACGGCGAGCCGTGGGCAGCGAGGTAGGACCTGGGCCTGGCGCCCAGGGAGCCAGGTCACACCAGTCCCTGGGGGTGGCCCTGGGGGTTGCAGCCTAGGACTTGAGCGTGGCTGGAGGTGAGCAAGGATGGAGAGAGCAGGGGGACAGTGTGGTGTTTGCCAACCCATGTTCTACAGCCTGGCACCTCCGTCCCCCAGCAGCACCCTGTCCCCTCCCGTTCATCCCCCACCTTCTTCTGGGCCACCCTCCCCTGCCTGCCTCTGGCCCAGGCGTTTGCTGACCCTCCAGTCCAGCGCCGCCCGTCTCGTGGCTTTTTCTCCAAACTGGCAGCCACACGTTAGGAGCTTGATCTTCCCCAGCGGCAAGAGCAGTGACTCAGAGGCGAGGGTCAGCGGCAGGACTGGCGACTGGCGTGAGCTAGCTGTCCCTGCCACTGGAGTCCGCGATGACAGAGCCTGCTGCCCAGTGCCCTGGGTCTGTGGCTCAGTCACTCGTTCCTCAGATCCGTGCTGAGCATCAGCTCGGCTGGAGGCCTAGAGGGACGTGCGGATCACACTCGGCCGGCAGAGCCGCAGCACCGCTGGGCCTGAGAGCCAGGCTGGCTCTGGGGCTGCGGTGTCAAGCTTGAACCCACAGGATGGCTCGGGGCGCTTTCTCCATCAGAGCCGGTGCTCCACGGTGCCGCCCTCCCTGCACGGTGACCCGCCTCGGTGTGGCGAGGGGCGTGGCTGCTGGGAGTGTGTTGCCCGTGACAGTGTCCTGCAAGCAGAAAAACAGAAAATAGGGAAGAAATGGCCTAGTGAAATCGCCCCTTTCTGAGTTGGGCAAGGTGGGAAGGGTCGGGGGACCAGTGCCTGGAGCCAGGCACCCCCTGTGTCCAGACACCCAGGAAAACTCTCTCCAAAGGAACCGGCCTGAACGTGCTTCTGTCCCGCCTCACCCCCACACCCCCCTCAGGCTGGCCCCGCTCCCTCACCGACACCTCGGGCCACTCTTGCAGGTGCAAGACGGCCGCTCCGTCAGCTATCCGTCCCTCCTCAGCCACCTGACCTCCGTGCACCTGAACAGCCCGGCGCTGGCCCTGCCCGTAGCCAGGCAGCCGCCCCCAGGCCCCGGCCTGCGGTCCTTCCACCCTCTGGCTTCCTCGCTGCCCTGCGACTTCCACCTGCTCAACCTGCGCTCGCTCCAGGCGGAGGTGAGTGCCCGCCCGCCCGGCCCCGCCCTGTCCCAGCGCCGCTCTGAGGGGCTCCACCCCTCCGCTGACCGCGTCCTGATGTCTGTCATCCAGGATGACACCCTGCCCTCGGCGGAGACCGCACTCCTCCTGCACCGCAAGGGTTTCGACTGCGGCCTCGAGGCCAAGAACTTGGGCTTCAACTGCACCACAAGCCAAGGCAAGGTGAGCAGGAGCGGGAGCCCGGCCAGCCCGGCCTGAGCCTGGGCGGCAGGAGGGAGAAGCGAGCGTCCCTCCCTGGCGTTCCGGAGAGAAAGGGAGGAGGCTGTTGACGCGCGTTTTCAAAGATGCTGAGCCCCGGCGGGGGCAGGTCCACACAAGGCGTGGCACAGCTCGAGAACTTTCATCCTGAGTGGGGACCCAAATCAAGCGAAGTGGGAGGAGCAGAAAGAAAAAGCTGGTACTCGTTCCAGCGGCACTGACGCACGCCGCCGCGTGCCGGACCCTGTACGGGGCTCCCGTGGTCCCCAGGGGAACCAAGACGTGGTCCCAGTTCGCAAAGAGCTCACAGCTCATGGACGCGGTTCCTACTCTGGGGTCCCTGGACAGGCTTGGGGGTCGAGCGGAGCTCGGCCGTCCCCGAGACTGGACGCAGGTGCAGTGGGGAGAGGCGCGAGTTGCTTCTGAGAGGGCCGCAGCTTCTGCCGGGTCCTCAGAGAGGTGACAAGTGACGTAGAGCTGTGCCACTTTGTGTCTCGGCGCCTGGTACAGCCCACACCCTCTCTCCTGTCCACAGGTGGCCCTGGGGAGCCTTTTCCACGGCCTGGACGTGGCGTTCCTGCAGCCCACCTCGCTGACGTTGCTGTACCCGCTGGCCTCGCCCTCCAACAGCACCGACGTCTACGTGGGGCCCATGGAGATCGCCGCCTTCCGCCTCCGCCTGGGCTAGGGCTTCTCGTGGCCTGATGAGACCGCCTCTCACCGTCCCGATCCGCCTCCCAGAACTGGGACAGACTGGGCCGCGCCCTCGTCCTCTGTTTATTGCCGCTGCTGTGTTCGGGGCCGCCCGCAAGCCCAGCGGCCGGCAGACGGGGCAGCCAGCGAGGTCGGGGAGGGAAGGCCCCTGGGCAGAGCAGCCGGCGCCAGACCCAGCGGCCGGTGGTGAGCGGCCACCAGCGGGGCACAGGCCCAAGCGCCCGTCCTTTTCCCAAGGGCACGCGGGAGACGCCGAGGCACACAGAGGAGGTGAGGGAGGCTGGGCAGGTAACCGCCAGCGCACGCCAGTGTGGCAGGGGCTGGCTCTGGGGGAATCCTGTGTTCTGTGGAGACCGCGTGTGTGGTGTGACCAGGAGGAGAGCGACTCTGGGGAGAGAGGGGCGGGGACCCAGAGTTAGTGGTGGGTGGAGGAGTTGAAGGAATCCGTGCTTCTCCGCATAGTCTGAAGGCCTTGCTGCTCTCTGTGATGGCTCCACCTGGCCCACATGCCCCGGCTCGGGGCTGCCGGGTGGCAGGGAGGACTCACTAGAGACTGTCACGGCCAGAGGTCATAGGACACTTCAGGTATCAAAACCCCTATAGGCCAAGCTGGGCGCGTGGCCTATGTGTTGCCTTGTGGGAGGGTGGCGGGGGCGTGGGGTCCTTCGCCCTACCTGACCCCGCCCCGCCCCTGTACTCTGTCCACCACCCTTCCCAAGAGCTCCTGCCCGCCACGGGGCGTGGCCCTACTTCCTCCACCCGGAGAGAAAGTGAATCCTCCGAGCCCCATGTGCTCGGGCAGCTCGAGAAGGCTTTCGGCACCACCACGCCTGGCCGTCGGGCCTTCGAAGGTCCGTCCTTCCGCAGAAACCCTCGATTCGGGGCCAGGGCACAGGGACGTGAGACCACGTCAGGAGGCGGCACGGCTGCCCGAGAGCCCGCAGCGCAGCCTCGATTAACAGAGACACATTCGCGATAGTCTCTGCAAGACGCGGTAAAGCTACTCGGCGAAATTTAAAATCCATCCCTTGTTAAAACTCTTAGTAAGTTAAGACTAGAGAGAGACATCCTAATCTAGATGAAGGTGTCTCTCAGAAATGCAGGTGCTGGCATTCTGAAGAGTCAGTTCCCAGCAAAGTCAGAGAGTAGCCAAGGGCAGCTGTCACTCGGCAACGTCCTGGCCCTGCCAGCCCCTCAATGAGGCCAGATGAGGGAGACCAGGAAGAAATAGCGTTGTCGCCGTTTGTAGACAATAACAGCGCCTACCTTGAAACTCTGAATCAAGCGAAGACCTATTGAGAGTGTTCTGGAAGCTCACCCAGGGATACTACACATCACGTCTGTGTGAGGATCTCGGTTCTCCCCACATCAGCCGATAAATTCGCTGTAATTCCAGCGAGATTGGATACTTTTTGGAATTTGCCAGGTCCTGACGTTCACTTGGGAGAGTAAATGTGTGAGGCTACTCGGACAGTCCTGAATGGTGAGTTGGGTGGCGCTGCGGTGGGGAAGAGGCGCTCGAGCTGCCGGCTGCCTTTCCCGAAGGACTCTCGCCCTGCCGTGAACTCTGCTCGGTGTGACGGGAAGCGGGTCAGACAGACGCTGGGACAGACGGAGAGTCCAGAAACAGACCCAGGGACACAGGCGATTAGGATATGGCAGGAGGACTATTTTAAATGGGGGGAAAGAAGGATTATTTAGTTAATAGTACTTTGAGACAACTAGCTATCTATTAAAGTAAGTTAAAGCTCTACCTCACAGTTTCTGAAAAAATTAGTTCCGGAGGGAAAAAACAAAAAAATAAAACTACAAAATTACTCAAGAAAATATATATTTATACCACCGGTGTGGGAAGGTCTTTTCTAAACAACATTGAAAGCTAAAGGATAATAAGGGAAAAGATAAACATTTTACCACCAAAGTGTTGAGGCCAGGTGTGGTGGCTCACGCCTATAATACTGACACTTTGGGAGGCTGAGGTGGGGGACTGCTTAAGGCCAGGAGTTTGAGACCAGCCTGGGCAACATAGCAAGACCCTGTTTCTAAAAAAAATTTTTAAAGATTAGCCAGGTGTGATGGTGTGTGCCCGTACCCCTAGCTACTTGAGAGGCTGATGCAGGAAGATCACTTGAGCCTGGGAGTGTGAGGCTGCAGTGACCTATGATCATGCCACTGTACTCCAGCCTGGGTGACAGAGCAAGATCCTGTCTCAAAAAAAAGAGAAAGCTTCATGACATTGGATTTGGCAATGATTTTTGGCATGTGACACTAAAAGCACAGGCAACAAAAGAAAAAAATATACCAAGTAGACTACAACAAAGGCATCTTTTGTGCATCCAAGGACACAACAGAGTGAAAAGGCAACTCACGAAATGGGAGAAAATACTTACAAATCATATATCTGATAAGTGGTTAATATCAGAATATATGAAGAACTCATTTAACTCAACAACCAAAAACCCAACCCAATTAGAAAATGGGCAATAAGACAGACATTTCTCCCAAGAAGATATACAAATAGTCAATAAACATGTGAAAAGATGCTCAACATCACTACTCATTAGGGAAATGCAAATCAAAACCACGAGACTCCAATTCACATTATAGGAGAGCTATAATGAAAAAAAAATTACAGGCAGTGGCTCACGCCTGCAATCCTAGCACTTTGGGAGGCTGAGGCCAGAGGATTGCTTGACCCCAGGAGCTTGAGGTTGCAGTGAGCTGTGATGACACCACTGCACTCTGGCCCTGGCAACAGAGCAAGACCAAGTGGTTTGTTGGCGTGGCATCTTTACACTAGTGGCTAGTCTCATTGTTTATACAGTTGCTTGCACACAGCATCACTTTCGTCTTAACTTTTTTATTCGATTTTGAGAGTCTGTGTTTTCCCTTATGACCACGCCTCCAAAGCAAAAATTTCCTGCACGGCCAGGTGAGCCTGCAGGGAACAGAGAGGTAATTACAATGGAAGTGAAAGTAGGAGTGATTAAGCATCCATAGAAAGGCCAGACTCTGTCATTCATTGGGAAGGCATTAGGCTTCAGTCACTCAACCATTCCAACAATTATAAAGGATAATGTGAAAATAATGGAACATGTGAAAGGCAGTACTCCAGCGAAAGCATCAATTTTTACTAAGGCCAGGCGCGGTGGCTCACGCCTGTAATCCTAGCACTCTGGGAGGCTGAGGTGGGAGGATCGCTCAAGGTCAGGAGTTCGAAACCAGCCTGAGCAAGAGCGAGACCCTGTCTCTACTAAAAATAGAAATAAATTAATTGGCCAACTAAAAATATATCTATAAAAATTAGCTAGCACATGCCTTGTAGTCCCAGCTATTCAGGAGGCTGAGGCAGGAGGATTGCTTGAGCCCAGGAGTCTGAGGTTGCTATGAGCTAGGCTGATGCCACAGCACTCTAGCCCGGGCAACAGAGTAAGACTCTGTCTCAAAAATAATAATAATAATAATTTTTACTAAGCAGCATAGAGGATTAATTACTGACATGGAAAGGTTACTATTGATTTGGTTAGAAGATCAAAATAAGCTAGCATTCCTATTAGCCTAGCAATTAAAAGAGCACAATAGTTTCTGTAACATACTATTACAGGACCGGGTTATTATTATTACAGTATCACTGTATTATTCTTACCACATATCACCCATTATAGCATTATTATTAGTACCATTTATGTGCTGTTTATCAAGGATCCAACTTACATACCCAACCTAAAGGCATTCTCAGGAATATATCTCACCCATAATCTGGGTACCAGCTGTATTTACAAGTATGGACATTGACTAGAAATAGACACCTTACATGAATGACAGAAGATGTTAATGCCTTGGAAGGGGACATTGAAAACAGGAGGTGGCTCATGCCTGTAATCCTAGCACTTTGGGAGGCCAAGGCGGAAGGATCGTTTGAGCTCAGGAGTTCGAAACCAGCCTGAGCAAGAGCAAGACCCCATCTCTACTAAAAAAAATAGAAACTAGCTGGACAACTAGAAACTAGCTGGACAACTAAAAATATATAGAAAAAATTAGCCAGGCATGGTGGCACATGCCTATAGTCCCAGCTACTCAGGAGGCTGATACTTGAGCCCAGGACTTTGAGGTTGCTGTGAGCTAGGCTGAAGCCATGGCACTCTGGCCCCGGCAACAGAGTGAGACTCTGTTGTCAAACAAACAAAAACAGGATGGTGATCCAGAGGACTTTATCTTTAGCATTTATATGTGGGAGGGGAGCCAGAGATCACCTCCAAAGCCCCTTTAGCTCTCTTGGGCTCTCTAGCTGGATCTAGAAACCAAATTGACACCAGGCAGATTAACAAAAGTATACACATCTTACTAGTTTTACATGTATATGGTAAACTTCATAGAGTGAAGTCCAGAGAAGTGGCCAAAGCAAGATGCTTTTATACTTTTTAGACAAAGAATGATAAATTTGCAAAGACATTTCAAGACAAAGGGGATCTGACCAGGGGCAGTAAATTCCTAGAAGAGTCACTAGGAGATATATGGTGTAAAACTCGAGGAAGGAAAGGGTTACTCCTGTAAGTATATTTATTCAGGTCCACTGCAGTTCCCAATTCCTAGTCTCTGGTAATAAGGATTATTTTCTTGCCCTGGTACAGGTAGGGTACCCCTTCCAGGGGAGTCCTTATGGCTTGCTGCATTCAGGAAAAAACAGGTCAGCTAACCGTTTCTCCAGTGTTTTCAACTCAAAATAATCAATGTAGCAATTCAGCATATGTTGGGAAGAAATATCCTTCACTTCTTTTATTAAAGGGTTCAAATACACGGCCGGGCGTGGTGGCTCAGCCCTGTAATCCTAGCACTCTGGGAGGCTGAGGCAGGAGCATCACTTGAGCCCAGGAGTTTGCGGTCCCAGTGAGCTATGATCATGACACAGCACTCCAGCCTGGGTGACAAAGGGGGGCCTTGTCTCAAAACCAAAATTCCCCAAAACGTACTATAACCTGGGGATTACATTGAACTTTGTTCATCCGTTTATCTGGGACCATCCTGAAACTCATTTTCTTTCAAAGTCACTTTTTTGTTGCCCTTCACCTATTTTTTTTTTGTAGAGCTCCGCACTGGGACTTTCATTTGCACAAATAACTGTCGTGGTTCAACACGAACTGGCCTTTGACCTAACAATTTCCTTGTGTCCCAGATGATCGCCTTTCAAGGCGGTTTTAAGAAGCCCCAGCTGCTCAAGAGCGACTAAAAAAACCACTACCCGGCAATCCCTCCCGCCGACCCGGAGCAAAGTTCAGCAGCCGGCTGAGACTCCGCCTACCGCCTGGCTCCTACCGCCCCGGGGCCACTTCCGGGAAGTTCCTGTCGCTTAGCAACTGGAGGAATGCGCAATGTGGTAGGGCAGAGCTAGGATTGCGGAAAAATCAGTTTGCACTGTGGTTTGGGGAATGGGGGGACCGCGGTCCCACACTGGCCCAGTCATGTTGCTGCTGAGGGTCTCCCATGCCCAGCAAGGGTTGCCAGTAAGCAGGTGGCACACTTCCAGTGCACCTGTCATCCCTTCCAACGCACCTGTCATCCCTTCCAACTTTCTTGACCAGTAGGGCTGTTATTTTTTGAGCACCTATATGTCAGGCTCTATCATGCACATCACCTAATCTAACCCTGGTAATCGCACAACCCATCTCACTGATAAGGGAACCAGGCTCGGAGGGGTTGAGTCTCTCAACCTGAGGGAGGTGACTCAGGGACACACAATTGGAATCCTGCTCTGCTGAAAGACAAGCATGCAGTCTACTGGTCCACCATTCAGGAGGCCAGGGAAGGAGCAGCAGTAACTTAAACCTTTACCCCAAATTCTTTTATTTTCCATAATGACTTAGAAACTAGTATTAATACAAGTCCAAGTCCCTGAGGGGCCAGAGACCCCATCATGCAAACAGCAAACAGACCCAAGACTGGGGAAAGGCAGTGAGTGCAATAGAAATGGATGGGGTGCATCTGATTCCCACATCTGGGGCTCAGCTTGGTTGGCAGGTGGCCTTCAGCGTGAGAAAACACAGGTGTTTTGGGCCTCTGATATCTGGGTTAAAGGAAAAAGGGAGGGAGCTCCGGAGGCACAGAAAATCCTGTCCCGCCTGGGGACGGCTGGAGTTGTGCCACCCATGGCTCCCAGCACTCTCAGAGTGCTAGCCCCCGCTCCTTGAACAGATGCTTTAGAGCCTCTTCCAGTTGCCGGTTTGTTCCCTGAAGCCCCTTCACTACCTGCGCTGCCCACTCGAAGTATTCCTGGACTCGATGTTCTGACCATCCTGCATAGGAGTGAACAGAAACCTACTCATGTGATGTCAAGGACAGCACTGCCTTTTGCCCACTTCCTGGGGGCTTGCTGCAGGGCCGCCAGATGAGTTCCTGATGGAATGATCCGTGCTGGAAACTTCCCCTTGGTCCAGCTATTGTATTTTTGCCTTACGAAAGAAGATCAAAGAGTGGTCTAGTAGGATTAATTTGGGGAATTAACAACAACGCCCGGGCTTTTTCAGAAGTGACCAACCTGTGTCTTCAGAAGGGGACACCCCTCCCCTTTCCCTCAGAGCGGGTAGGACAGCATACCCTCGGGGGTGCAGCGATTCAGGTCCCTCAGATTGTACAGCTTGTCTGCCAGCTTCACCAGTTTAGCCCCGGGGCTGCTGTGAGGCGCCTGTTCCACCTGCAGCCGCTTCCTCTCCATCTTGGGCAGGGTCTTGTCGTCTGTCACCTCCTCCACCAGGCGCCGCACTTGGGCCCCAAAGTGCAGCTCCACCTCATCCAGGGTGGTGTCTGTGTCCTCCACCGTGTCATGGAGCAGGGCCGCCTGGGGACGGGCTCCCACTCAGCCCTGAGGCGCCAGCCAAAGGGTGCCTACTGCCCAGGGGGGCCCCTGATCCCCGCCCCAGCCTCCCGGCAGAGAAGGGGGAGTTACCTGCAACACCGCAATGTCGGTGATTCCCGCCTCGTGGGTCAGGATGCGAGCCACACCTGAGGGGGGCAAAGCGGGAAGTCAGACGGGAGGGGGCCCCCAGGCGGCGTGTTGCGGGTTTTGGAGACGAAAGTGGCCCCTCGCTAGCTGGGTGACCTTGGGCAAGTCCTTTACCCTCTGTAGGTGTCGACCGTACAAAGGGAACAGTCGCGCCTGCTGCCCCGGCTTGTGTGAGGCTTACTCGGAACCCCGCACAAAGCCGGTACAGGCAGGTGCTCAGGTGCACGCCCTCCGCGGGTCCTTCCCGGCCCCACCCCCCAGGCGCCGCGGCGGTTGCTCTCGGGCAGGCGCGCCCACCGATGGGGTGGTTGATGTAGGGGGTCCCTTCGGGGTCCTTCCGCCGCTGCTGCCGGTGCTTGCGAGCCGCGAAGTCGGCAGCCTCCAGCAGCTGCGCCGCCTCGGAGCCCATCGCTCGCGTGGGGCGGGCAACTGCGGCCGCGGGGGCCCGGGCGGAGCGTCTATAGCGCCCCCTGGCGCCGGGGAGGCCCGGGATGTGGAGACTAATTCAACCGGCAGCGCTTGGGCCCGGCCAGGTGGCGCCCTCTGCGCTGACGTCCCCCGCACAGAGAGCAGCAGGTGTGGGAGCTGCCTTCAGCATCGCAGCTCCTGCTTCAGTGCACTCTGCCGGGGGCACAAGAACGTAGCCTGGCTCTCTGGGAGCCCACAGTCTGTGCAAAGGGGGCGGACAGACAAATAAGGCAGTGGCCGCACAGTGTGCTGCGTCCAGGGTGGGACGGTGCAGAGGACTGTGGGCCAGAGGAGAAAGAGCGATTCACTTAGCCTCAGAGACAGAGACAGCTTCGCCCAGGAGAGGCCTCTCTGCTCATGTGAAGACAATCTTCAACCTGTCCGTGCTCTGAACATTCTCAAAGGGCTCTAGAAATAGTTCTCCCTACAGGGATGGGCCAGGTTGCTGTGGGCAAAGGAGCCTCACTTGTGGGCCCAGGAGACCCTAGAGCCTGACCTTCTGAAAAATTGGAGCCTACCCTGGGGCACTGCCTAATTGCTTCCAGATTTAGGCTTCCTGGCAGCAGTGATGTTTCTGCAGGAACTGCCTTTGTTCTCAATGCTGGAATTAAATTTGCATTGCTTTCTTGTGTCATAAGGTCTCCTGCTTCAGTAGCCCGGCACCTACTGTGTGCCCCTGGGGTGATGAGTGTTGTCACTGCCATTCTGGGAGCATGATGTTGCTAGGCCTGAGTAAGCACTAGAATAACACTTAATTCTGCTGGCTGGTGGCCTTGGGCCTTCTGGAGAAATTCCCTGTCTTAGGGAGGCAGCTATGAGGTATAAAGAGTAAAAGAGACCTGGAGACCCCTGAAGAGGTTCCCCGGGCAATGGGGTTGGCTGTTCGCTAAGTATAAAACTCCAATCAGACAGGGAGCTTTTGTGTTCTGGCTGGTAGTTGGGGCAGATGAAGCTCAGGGGAAAAGTTAATGAAAGGACTCGCTCTTGGTTTTCAGCTAGTCTTGGTGGCTGCCCCGTTGCGGAGGTTGGGGAGGGAAGCTCCACACCCTGGAACCGATGTCTCTGGGGCCTGAAATGGGATGGCCAGAGTTTCCGGGGCTTCATAGCAGCCTGAAGTTGGAAAGTAGGTAGAGAGAAGCATATCCGGCTCTAAACGCTTGTCCTTCAGGCTAATGGCTCCACTTGTCTCTCATCCCTCATTCTGTCCTCTGTAATTCTCTGAGCCTTTTCCCCTTCAGCTCAGAGAACCTTAAGCAGTTTGGAGCCACAGGCCCTACATTTTCCAATAGGAGATAGAAACTCAGTCACTTTCATCTCTCTCTGGAAGCCTGTGACAAAGAAGCTTCAGGTTTGCATTAATGGCGCCTGAGGGCCTTGCGGCTTTTCCAATTCCTTACTGTCTGCAGTCCTGGCTTAGAAAGAGAGACGTTGAGGCTCCTAGAACCATAGCTGAAGTGGAGGTGACGGCTCCCGGGCTCCCAGAGAGGAGGCGGGCCCTTGCTGACAGGCTGACCTGGGCTTGCTGCTGCTCCTCAGCCAGAGGGCCCCTGCCCAGCCAACCTCTCTCAGGTACAACACTACCTCCTGGGGGGCGGAGGGGCACTCCCTGTGGCAAGAGCTCTTTCTAGGAGCCGGTGGGGACAGGAGAAAGGCAGCCTGCACTTCTGGTAGGGGCCATCCCTCTTACTCTCCAGAAGGGGTGGAGTGGGCAGTGGCAGACCCTTCCTGCTTGTCTCCAGCCCCCTCGCCTCTCTCTTCAGCATGGCCCACCACCCTCCCTTGTGCCAGACCACCCGGGATGCCGGTGGCTGCCACTACCCTCGGTTTCTTCTGTCCCCGGCTGACACTCCGGAGGAAGCCTACTGCTGCCACCTGCAGGCTGCAGGGGGCTCCTGCTGCGCCGGGCTGGCTTTGAGGCCCTGTACCAAGTCAACCCGTCCGCCCTGCCGCCTCCGCCCATCCGCAGGTGAGAACTCCAGACTGGGACATTGGCGGGGTGTTCCAGTATCTGGGCTCTGTTCCTAAATTCTGGAGTGGAAGGCTTGTAGTTTACAGACTAGTGGAGGGACAGACAAGAAAGGGAAAATCACTTACGTCATGATTGCAAACAATTACAGAGGAAAAGTTCAGGGGGCTGTGGAAGCGGGTAACAGGGAGCCATGGTGCATGTTGGGCGGGGCAGAGGGGGCAGGGGCAGTTGTCAAGATTGGGAAGATCTTGTAGTCCGTGGATCACACACTTTATCATAGGGGCTTTTAATCCTGAATCTCGCCTTGGGTGGCTTCAGGGTACCTGAGAGCCCTTGAATTCGTATGCAAATGTGCGTGTACGCATGCCTGCATAAATCTGGGGAGCGGGTCCCGGGCTTTCTCCGGACTCTGGGGCTCTGCACCCCGCAGGCGCGAGCAGCGAGAGAGCGGATGGGGCCAGCATCCCGACACTCTCCCCTCTCCCACAGGGGCCCAGGCCCGCTCCTCGCGCTGGGCCTCTACAGCCTGCTGCTCGTGGCCCCGATGAGCGCAGACCTCTGGCACTCAGCGACCGGGGCTCCCGGCTCGGCGGGAACTGACTAGGAGCGCCCGAGGCCTCTCTGCGCCTGCGCACTGGGGCCGTGCGCCCGGCTCCTGCTCCGGCGCGCGCTCCCCTCGGCCCCGCCCCTCTCTGACGTCGCCTGGACGCAAGACGGCGCGGGGCAGCCCTGGGTAGCCTCGGAGCCAGCCCCGCCCCGCCCCAGAGACTGCGCCTGCGCGGGCACGGGACGTCTGCTCGCTCCGCAATGACTGTGAGTGGTCCCGGGTCCCCGGGCTGCGTACCCAGCCCCCCACGCCGGCACACCCGCGCACCCGCCCTGGCCACCCCCCGGCCGCCTCCTCCCGCATTCTTGCTTCCCGACCCGACTCTCCCCTCGCCCTAGCTCCCCGCCTCCGCCCCGAGCCCGCCCCGACGTTCCCACCTTTCCCTCCGCAGGCCAGCTCCGTGGAGCAGCTGCGGAAGGAGGGCAACGAGCTGTTCAAATGCGGAGACTACGAGGGCGCCCTGACGGCCTACACCCAGGCGCTGGGTCTGGGCGCGACGCCCCAGGACCAGGCCATTCTGCACCGCAACCGGGCCGCCTGCCACCTCAAGCTGGTGAGGGAGCCGGGCCGCCCTTCGCCTTGCCTGCCCGGGGAAGGGGCCCGCTTGGCCCATCTCAGCTGCTGCTTGTCCCTGGCTGGGCATTCGCTTTCCCAGGGCACCCCCACTGGTCAGATGTCTTTGGGGCCTCAGGGTGGAAGGTGGGGGGACGGGCGACCATGGAGAACAGGAGTGGCCCTGCTGCTCAGTTAGTGCCCTGAAAGGGAGACGGATCGTGCTCTCAGGCTCCTGTTCTTTCTCTGACAGGAAGATTACAACAAAGCAGAAACCGAGGCATCCAAAGGTAGGGGAATGTGGGCCCTGGTGTGCAGCTGTGGGGCTTTTATGATGGGCCAGGGCTCCAGGACCACTGCGCTGTCACATTCTCCTCCTCCTCTGGCCCTGGAAACACAGCTGCCTTCTGTCTTTCCCACTTCCTCGGGTATCTCCTTTTCTGCAGCTACCCTCACCTTTTCTGAGGCTGGAGTACCGAGCCCCACACTCATCCCCCCACCTTCCTCTGGCCCTGGAGATCTTTCCCTCCTGCTCTTCCCTCCCGTCTCCCCGCCTGGAGACGGTGGCCTCATGGGTGCTGACAGAGCTCCTGTCTGTGCTCAGCCATTGAAAAGGACGGCGGGGACGTCAAAGCGCTTTACCGGCGGAGCCAAGCCCTAGAGAAGCTGGGCCGCCTCGACCAGGCTGTCCTTGACCTGCAGAGATGCGTGAGTCTGGAGCCCAAGAACAGAGTTTTCCAGGAGGCCCTGAGGAACATTGGGGGCCAGATTCAGGAGAAGGTGTGTGAGTGACCGAGAGAGATGGAGGGATTGACGGGTGGTAAAGGGAGCTGGGTCCAGGGCATAGACACATTTCTCCAGAGAAGAGACACTCGTGGCACGTGATCATATAGAGTGATGCTCAGCCTTGTCTTCGGTTAGGGGAAAAGCAAACTACAGTGACATCTGGCACTGTCTTTTTGGTCGTCTGTTTGGCAAACATTTGAAAGTTGTACACTTTTCAAGGAAAGAGGCAGATACTTCAGAGTTGAGGTTGGGGGACACGGGCTCTCTTGTGACTGCTGAAGGGAGTATAAATTGGTACACCTCCTTCGAGAGTGCTTTAGCATATCTATTAAATTTTAGGGCTGGGCATGATGGCTCACGTCTGTCACCCTAGCACTTTTAGAGGCTGAGGTGGAAGGATTGCTTGAGGCCAGGAGTTTGAGGTTGCAGTGAGCTATGATGACGCCACTACACTCCATCCTGGGTGACAGGGAGAAACTGTGTCTCAAAAACTTTTTTAAATGAGCATATCCTGTTATCCTGTATGTTTACTTCTTGGTGTTTTCCCTAGAGAAACCTTGCCCATGTGCACAGGTAGGGGGGTGTGTGTTTATTTCAGTCTTGCTTATAGTAAGGAAAACTTAGAACTTGTCAATGCCCAGCCATAGGGGAATGGCTAAATAAACTGGGCGATATCCTTACTACAGACTTTTATGTTGTAGTTACTGAGAATTGGTAGAGCCACATGTGTTGACATGAAAAGCTCTCTGACACATGTTGAGTGGAAAAAGCAAAATATGAAATCAGTATATAGTATGATACCATTCATGTTAAAATAATTCCCTACATAGCAAAATGATACTATGTTTTTTTCTGTGGATACACTTTGGTATGTAAATACAAAGAAAATTCTTTTCTTTTCTTTTCTTTTTTTTTGAGACAGAGTCTCACTCTATTGCCAGGGCTAGAGTGCCGTGGCATCAGCCTAGCTCACAGCAACCTCCAACTCCTGGGCTCAAGCAATCCTCCTGCCTCAGCCTCTTGAGTAGCTGGGACTACAGGCATGCGCCACCATGTCACGGTGGCATGAGCCACCGTGCCTGGCAGCCTTATATTTTTAAATTAGGAGAGAAGAATCCAAAGACCATCATGAGGCCGGGCATGATAGCTCACGCCTGTAATCCTAGCACTCTGGGAGCCCGAGGTGGGTGGATTGCTCGAGGTCAGGAGTTCGAAACCAGGCTGAGCAAGAGCGAGACCCCATCTCTACTATAAATAGAAAGAAATTAATTGGCAAATTAATATATATAGAAAAAATTAGCCGGGCATGGTGGCACATGCCTGTAGTCCCAGCTACTTGGGAGGCTGAGGCAGTAGGATCACTTGAGCCCAGGAGATTGAGGTTGTTGTGAGCTAGGCTGACGCCATGGCACTCACTCTAGCCTGGGCAACAGAGTGAGACTCTGTCTCAAAAAAAAAACCAAAAAACACAAAGATCATCATGAGCTGTAACCAAGCTTGCATTAAGCAGATACTTTGGTGTTAAAATGCTGATGCAGTAGAAGCAACTAATATGATAGCAACCACCTTACTGAAAGGCTGAAACCTGGGAAAGCCAATAATTTTCCTCGAGGTGCCAGCTTCGTTTGATTGGTGGTGGTTGCGGAGAGTCCTGTGTTGAGGAGGATTCAGAAGCAGATTGCCTGGCCTTACCAGGGGAACACGCCATGACTGATTAGTCATGTCTGCCATGGATGCAAGAGGGAGCAGGGAATTGGTATGCATGCTAGGCTTGTGTCACCATCTGTGGTCAGGACCCTGGAGGGTGGGAGACTAGGCCTAGGGCGATCTTGCCCGTTCAAATTATTTATACAAACTGTCAGGAAGAGAATTTCGGAGCTAAAGGGAATGTTAGTAACTACCTCACAACCTGCCAGCTCCCTTGCAGGAGCTATAAATGCTGAGGTCAGTGCCATGGGTGGCACATTCCTGCTGCCATGACACAGACGGCACCACTGGAATAGGTTGCCTCGTCGTGGGTAACAGGGTGCCTCCCCTTCTGAAAGGCACTGCCTTCAGCAGCATCGCTGTCCCTGCTGCCCAATCAGGAAGTATCTCAGAGAGGAAAACTGCTGCAGGAAGTTTAGGCGGAGCTGCCAGGTGAGTCTCTTCCTGCCCAAGGCAGCTTGGTGCTAGCCCTGAGCCTAGACCTCCTCACGGTGCCTCCCAGAGACAGGAGCCAGGCCCTAGGAGGAGCTAGAGAAAACAAGCAGGGAACGAGATGTCTCTGGCTAAGAGAAGTGATGTTTTCCATGCTTTGATGGCTTGCCATAGGTGCGATACATGTCCTCGACGGATGCTAAAGTGGAACAGATGTTTCAGATACTGTTGGACCCAGAAGAGAAAGGCACTGAGAAAAAGCAAAAGGTATAGGCCCTGGACTGAGCCAGTGGGGGCTGAGCTCCCAGCAGAGCTGCCCCTCCGTCGCACTCTGTCTGTTCCCCTGTGTTGGCCCTGGAAGCCCCTGCTTCCCTGGTCTGCTGCATGTTACTCCCCCAGTTGTGCAGCGGAGCTCCTGGGGCCTGGACGGGAGGGAGCTCTGAGGGCTTGGGGTCTTAGTGTGAACCAAGGAAAGGCACCAGGGTTCACATAGTGCCTTGTTGGCCAGACCCTGCGCCAGGAGCTGGGTGTACACAGGTGACCAAGGCACTGTCCCTGCCCTTCAGGATCTGCTGGGGACTCGTTTACTCTGTCAATCCTGAGAGCAGGCTCTTCCCTCTACTTATAGAGGCAGAAGCTGAACTTCAGAGAGATTTAATTTTTGGCCAGGGTCACAGGTCCAGAGCTTGGGACCTCTGCCTAGGCTGTGTGCAGTGTCAACATTACCATGCCCTTCCTTTGACACAGGCTTCTCAGAACCTGGTGGTGCTGGCCCGAGAAGACGCTGGGGCTGAGAAGATCTTCCGGAGCAATGGGGTTCAGCTCTTGCAGCGCCTGCTGGACACGGGAGAGACTGACCTCATGCTGGCAGCTCTGCGCACGCTGGTCGGCATTTGCTCTGAGCACCAGTCACGGGTAGGCGGGGCGGAGAGCCTAGTCATTGCCTCAGTCTGTCTGTCCTTCCATTTATCCTTCCATCCATTCACCATTCCATCCACCCTCTATCTCTCATCTTATTTCAAAAAGAACTTAAGGCAGAGGAGACATGTAACAAGGGAGGAAAAATAAAAATGGCACAAAAAAGACCAATGTGAATTAGGATGAAGTAGGGCCAGGAAGAGCAAAAACAGCTCTCGGGCCCCCTGAGCACTTGCTTTGGGTGGTTTCCTGCAGCCAGCTCACACAGCGACACCCGGTCACTAACTCAGTCGGTGTCCGTATCATACAAGCAAGCTCGTTACCCAGAAAAGGGCGCTGGTCCTGGCTCTAAAGACCACACTGGCATTTCCTCTGGAGGACGGTCCTCACAGAGAGTGATGTGGTCATGACATCTCAACCATCAAGACAGTGACATGATACACAGGGCTTGACCCTGACATGATTCTCAGCGTGGCCGGTGGTGGCCCCGTGCAGACAGTTCAGCAAGAACAGTCCTGTTCCTGGGCCGGTGGGGTGAAACCACCCAAAGCAAGTGCTCAGGGGGCCCGAGAGCTGTTTTTGCTATTCCTGACCCTACTTCATCCTAATTCGCATTGGTCTTTTTTGTGCCATTTTTATTTCCCATATCTTCACCATATCTGAGCTGGCTTGCTCTAGGGGACAGGGGCTTGCCACTGATTGCTTTTAGAGGATCCTACAACTCCTAGATCAGGGGTGGAACTGTGAAATATTCAGTGAAATCTCTTTAGGCCAACCCTGGGCTGTATTTTTGGGGCTAAGAATGGCAAAACCCTGTGAATTGTCAACTCCTTTAGCCATCCCAGTGTGAACTGGGTTAGACCTAAGTGGTCCTTCTGGGGTTCTCCAGCTTAGAAATGGGGTGGAAAGGTCTTGCAGGCCCAGTCCATGCATGTCCACGTCCCCAAGGTGTGGCCAGAACTTGAGGGTTTGGATTGAGGAGGAACTAGGCTACTAAGTCTTGTGGTGAGGTAGGTTTGCTTGGGTTTATGTTTCTCCTTCTCAGGGAGACACGAGCTAAAGCAGCTGTATTCTGTGCCTTCTCTGGAGCCAAGGCCAGGTAGTGGGACACTGCTCTGGAACGTTGTCTTTAGGAAGCCTTTCCAACAGAATTGTCCTGGTATTACCCAGGGTCACACCGTCAGACGTGTCCGCTTTGTTTTAACATGGAAGGAGCTGGTCCTTCCACCGAGATGTTTTCTCACCTTCTGGCCACACTTGTAACTTATAGATAGGGGTCTCTGTGGCTGCTCTTCACCAACTGGAGGCTCTGTCCACTTCTCTCCCACCCTAGACGGTGGCAACCCTCAGCGTACTGGGAACTCGGCGAGTGGTCTCCATCCTGGGCGTGGAAAACCAGGCCGTGTCCCTAGCTGCCTGCCACCTGCTGCAGGTTATGTCTGATGCCCTCAAGGAAGGCATCAAGAAAGGCTTCCGAGGCAAAGAAGGCGCCATCATTGTGGGTGAGTGGTCCTTTGGATGTTGCTGTCGTGGAGGGGATGGGGCTGAACCCGCCAGGCCAGTTCTTCTGGGACCAGACTTGCAGCTGCAGGTCATTCAGGTATATGGCTTGGTGACAGTATTTTACTCCAGATTCTCAGCAGCCGAGGTAATTGGAAGGCTGGAGCTCAGTGCAGAACCCAGAACGCAGGTTCCTGCTTGCCTGTGTCTCCCTGGCTCACTGGGGAAGTTCACGGGTCAACCAAGGCTGGGCCGCCATGGACCCCACTAATGTCTTCTTGTTGCCAGATCCTGCCCGGGAGTTGAAGGTCCTCATCAGTAACCTCTTAGAGCTACTGACCGAGGTGGGGGTCTCCGGCCAAGGCCGAGACAATGCCCTGACCCTCCTGATTAAAGTGGTGCCTCGGAAGTCTCCTAAGGACCCCAACAACAGCCTCACCCTCTGGGTCATTGACCAAGGTAGGTGATATAGTTCATAAAAACTTGCTTGGGTAGCTGAGGCTGGCTTGTCCTTAGGAATGATAAGAAAAGTAGCAGTTGTATCCAGCCACGTGTCTGTGTTGATGTGTGTCCTGTGACCTGCACGGTACCCAGAGGGAGCTCAAAGTTAGACCCTTGAGTCGTGTGTGTGTGCAGATGTGAGCCCATTGAGCAGGCCTGCGGTCAGGGTAACAGGGAAGCTGGACTAGCTTTCTGTATCTGAAGGTCTTTTTAGTGAGCATGTATTACTTCTATACTCAGAGAAAAAATAATTAAAGTTTAATATATCAATTTACATTTCCCTTTTCCCCTAAAAGATGAATAAGAAAAACTTTGCAAAGGCACTGCATGGGCACATCTGCTGGGTCCCCTCACACACGCATCTTCTTTTGTTGTCACGGCGACCCTATGAGGTGTGGGTGTTACTTTCCCCTTAGTTTTGCCATGGAACCTCAAAGCCCCAGAGCGTCCAGCCCCATGGGCAGGGCCGCCATGCAGGCCTCGCTTCCGAGGTCCTTCCCTGGCACCGCAGCTGCCTCCCATAGGTAGACGAGCCAAGAGATCTCCGAGCGGCCCCCACACATGCAGTTGCCTGACTGCCTTGTCCAAGGGCGATGGTCCTGCTTTTCCATGTGTCTCCCAGGAAGCTTCTTTCCTTTACCTGTCGGGGTTGGAACTGGCACTCTACCATCTAAATGGGGTGTCTTGGCCGGGCGCTCTGGCTCACGCCTGTAATCCTAGCACTCTGGGAGGCCAAGGCGGGAGGATCGCCCGAGGTCAGGAGTTCGAAACCAGCCTAAGCAAGAGCGAGACTCCGTCTCTACTAAAAATAGAAAGAAAACTAATTGGCCAACTAATATATATATATATAGAAAAAATTAGACGGCATGGTGGCGCATGCCTGTAGTCCCAGCTACTCGGGAGGCTGAGACAGAAGGATCGCTTGAGCCCAGGAGTTTGAGGTTGCTGTGAGCTGGGCTGACGCCAGGACACTCTAGCCCGGGCAACAGAGTGAGACTCTGTCTCAAAAAATAAATAAAAATAAATGGGGTGTCTTTTTAGGTCTGAAAAAGATTCTGGAGGTGGGGGGCTCTGTACAAGACCCTCCTGGGGAGCTCACGGTGACAGCGAACAGCCGCATGAGTGCCTCCATTCTTCTCAGCAAGCTCTTCGATGATCTGAAGTGTGATGCCGAGAGGGAGAATTTCCACCGCCTCTGTGAAAACTACATCAAGTAAGGGGGTCTGTCCCATCTCCCCTTGCCAGGGCTTCCAACAAAAACGTCACCTTGAGGAGGGACAAAAATGAAAGGCTTCCGGCAGGGAGAGCACCTTAGGGAGGACTAGTGGGCTAGACAAAAGTGTCCTGAGGCCCATTTCTTCTTCCAAAGTGACCTCACTAGGGAGGTTCTTTTTCAAATAAATTTTCCAATAAGGCAGCAAATGTCATCAAGCATGTGCCATATTTACTGAGCACTTACTACATGTCTATTCCGACACAGAAGTGAAACATGACAGTCCTTACCCTTAAGGAGCTTACAGGCTGGGCGTGGTGGCTCTGGCCTGTAATCCTAGCACTCTGGGAGGCTGAGGCGGGAGGATTGCTCAAGGTCAGGAGTTCGAAACCAGCCTGAGCAAGAGCGAGACCCCGTCTCTACAAAAATGGAAAAAAATTGATTGGCCAACTAAAAATATATAGAAAAAATTAGCCGGGCATGGTGGCGCATGCCTATAGTCCCAGGTACTTGGGAGGCTGAGGCAGGAGGATTGCTTGAGCCCAGGAGTGTGAGGTTGCTGTGAGCTAGGCTGACACCACGGCACTCTAGCCCGGGCAACAGAGTGAGACTCTGTCTCAAAAAAAAAAAAAAAGGAGCTTACCGCTGTGGGGGTGAAGACTGATGATAAATTATGAAAAAGCAGAACAATTTCAGATCTTAATAAGTACAGGAAAGGAAATAAATGGCGGTGTGCGGGAGAGTAACCTATGTTAGATGGTATGTCATCAGGGAAGTCTCAGATGAAAGCGTCGATAAAATCAGTGGCGATTGTCCAGGTGGAAATGTCCTTGTCTTCCCCCTGGCAGCTTTTCTTGCTGTTTCTGCCCAAGTAGTGCAGGCGCCTAGCCGGTGGAGGGGAAAGGAGGGAAGGAGAGTCCCTTTATGCTGGCCTTGGCGTGACATCTGTCACCCTGTGTCTCCCAGGAGCTGGTTTGAGGGCCACGGGCTGGCCGGGAAGCTACGGGCCATCCAGACAGTGTCCTGCCTCCTGCAGGGCCCATGTGATGCCGGCAACCGGGCCTTGGAGCTGAGTGGGGTCATGGAGAGCGTGATTGCTCTGTGCGCCTCCGAGCAGGAGGAGGAGCAGCTGGTGGCCGTGGAGGCTCTGATCCATGCAGCTGGCAAGGCCAAGCGGGCCTCCTTCATCACCGCCAACGGCGTCTCACTGCTGAAGGACCTGTACAAGCGCAGCGAGAAGGACAGCATCCGCATCCGGGCCCTGGTGGTGAGAGGCGGCCCGGGGTGGTCGGCAGGCAGCCGGGCAATGTCTGGAGGGCGGCCCCAGCACACTCCAGGGGAAAATAAAGGATATTCTCGGCCTTGTTGAGCCAAGAGGCGTGGGCCTGGTTCCTCCCACCTCAGCGCTTATGGTCAAGTCAGAGATGAACCAGCTACAGAGAGGTCACCTGGGAATGCAGGTGGCACATGCTGTCCCTTTGCTGGTCAGAAGGGTCACATGGAAAGACTGGGCCTGCAGGGGTCATGCGGCATCCCCAGGAGCAGGTGGTGTGGGGACTGTCCAGCAGATGCTGGTCATCCTCCTTGGGGCACTCAGACCTGGATTTCTCCATCCTATAGAATTTTGGCCTTGGCAGAAGCACCTGTCTTCTCCTCACACCTGTCTTAGCTCCACCTGCAAAGAGCCTTTTTGTATGCCACGGAAAGGAGCAGAGCAATTCTCAGTGTAGGTGGGGAAGGGTTGGGGCCCAGGACAGAACAGTGGCCAGTGTGTCAGTCTCTATAGATGCTGTGTCATGTGGACACCCAATGGCTCATTTTGCTGCCAAATGCTCTAGGTGCTAGCCTTGTGGGGTAGGGTGCTGATTTGTGTGCGTGGCCTCTGGAGAGCCATGACAGTGCCAGGGAGGGAGTCCAAGCCAGTTATGGAGGAGCCTGGCCCCTGCCACCTTCCCCAGAGGCCAAGCAACTGGTCTTTTTTTTTTTTTTTTTTTTTTTGAGACAGAGTCTCACTTTGTTATCCAGTCTAGAGTGAGTGCCATGGCATTAGCCTAGCTCACAGCAACCTCAAACTCCTGGGCTCAAGAGATCTTCCTGCCTCAGCCTCCCAAGTAGCTGGGACTACAGGCATGTGCCACCATGCCCGGCTAATTTTTTTCTATATATATTAGTTGGCCAATTAATTTCTTTCTATTTTATAGTAGAGATGGGGTCTCGCTCTTGCTCAGGCTGGTTTCGAACTCCTGACCTCGAGCAATCCGCCCGTCTCGGCCTCCCAGAGTGCTAGGATTACAGGCATGAGCCACTGCACCCGGCCTAAGCAACTGGTCTTGCCCTCTTCCTCCAGGGACTCTGTAAGCTCGGCTCGGCTGGAGGGACCGACTTTAGCATGAAGCAGTTTGCTGAAGGCTCCACTCTCAAACTGGCCAAGCAGTGTCGAAAGTGAGTTGTTTGGCATTGCTGTGACCTCCCACCTGTTGGACAGGTCTCAAGGCAGGAGGGTCTGGGTGGAGGGTGGGGCCTCCTCCCTGCCCTGCTCTCTGGCGCGGGCAGGGACTACTCTCCCCCAGGCATGCCCTCCTGGGTCCTGGCACATGAGCTGCTTCTCGGTGTTGAGGGGATGCCCAAACCCTGATTCTTCCCTCTTGGCATTGGTGTGTCCCATCCCAATCCCCAGTTCTGATGGCTGTCCACTACCCTGCCTGTCCCCAGGTGGCTATGCAACGACCAGATTGACGCAGGTACTCGGCGCTGGGCGGTGGAGGGCCTGGCTTACCTCACCTTTGATGCCGACGTGAAGGAAGAGTTTGTGGAGGATGAGTCTGCTCTGAAGGCTCTGTTCCAGCTCAGCAGGGTAGCTCGTGGGTTCCTGCTGTCATCCTGGGGACACTGTTAGGATTAGGATTGCTAGGCTTTCTTGGCAGGTCTTGGTGACCCCAGGGAGGCAGGGCTGGTAGCCCGAGTGTTTGCCCTGTGTGGCATGGGCATGCTCGCCTGCACCAGCAGTGTTAGGAAGGTCTCCTTGAAGGAGTCGAGGAGGTCAGATTTGTAAGCTCCCAAAATCTGTGGCCTGGGGGAGGTTTCTGGATTCATCCTGGTGCCCAAGTGGGGTCCGGCTGAGGGTAGAACTGGGGGCCTGGGCCTGAGCAGCGTTTATCCAAGTGCTGCTCTGCCCCGGGATAGCCGCATGAATGCCCCTCTGTTGCTGGCAGTCTGAGGACAGGTCAGTGCTCTTCGCGGTGGCCTCGGCACTAGTGAACTGCACCAACAGCTACGACTACGAGGAGCCCGATCCCAAGATGGTGGAGCTGGCCAAGTACGCCAAGCAGCATGTGCCTGAGCAGCACCCGAAGGTGAGGGGGCTGCCGGAAGGGGCTGAGGGTTTCCCTGTCACTGGGACCAGTTGACCTGGGCATCCGCAGCAGAAGAGCCTTCCATTTAAGCTGGTTTCTTTCCCTTCATTCTGGCTTTTTGTTTCCCTGTTCGTCAGTGTCTGCTCTAAATAGGGTCTCCCTGTCTAGTCAGCCAAGGCCCCTCTACTAAGCTTCCTTCTTCCCCAGGACAAACCGAGTTTCGTGCGGGCTCGGGTGAAGAAGCTGCTGGCAGCAGGTGTGGTGTCGGCCATGACGTGCATGGTGAAGACCGAGAGCCCCGTGCTGACTAATTCCTGCAGAGAGCTGCTCTCCAGGTGCGGCTGCCTCGGCATGGAGCCAGGCTTTTCCCCGCTCCTGAGCCTCGGGGCTATGGATGTGACTCCAGAGGGGCAGGTCCTGGTGCTGTGGGCCTCTGGGACAGGGGGTGGGGGGTCCTGCTTGGGTGCCTTCCTTTGCTGGGCCAGGAGTGGAGTGTCTGCCTGCCAGAGCCCTGGACCCCACCCACCCACCACCCCTTCCTCCCGCAGGGTCTTCCTGGCTTTGGTGGAAGAGGTAGAGGACCGAGGCACTGTGGTTGCTCAGGGAGGGGGCAAGGTAAGCTGGTTTGCAGACTCCTTCCTGATGGCTGAGCCATCAGCCTATAAAACATGACTCAGTAGCTGCCACGCCAGAGGTTGGTGTGAGGTGTAGGATGGGAAAACATTAATAAGCAGGGAAATGTCTTCCGCTGACTGGGTGGTGCGGAAGTGGGCGGGCTCCCCAGAGTCCCTCGGCACTTCCCTTGTCTCATTTGCTTCCGTGGCCCTAGCATCCAGCACAAGCCACGTCTAGCCTTTAATAGATGTTGCAGGAAGTGTTCGGGTAGCTTAAGGAGAGACCTCAGAGGTGAAGAGGGTCTGTGCAGGGAGTCAAGTCCTGGGGAGGAGAAGGGTGTGCCACTCCCAGGCACATCCTGGGCACCGGTGGGCTTGTTCCTACAGTCTCTGATCCCGCTGGCCCTGGAAGGCACCGACGTGGGGCAGACGAAGGCAGCCCAGGCTCTCGCCAAGCTCACCATAACCTCCAACCCAGAGATGACCTTTCCCGGCGAGCGGGTGTGTGTCTTCCTCCCCCAGCCCTGGCCTCTCCTTCACCTCCTCTCTGGGCCTTGGTGGCTTCTGGCCTGGGCTGTAGCTCTTCCTTGGGACCAACAGGAAGTGGCAGCTTTGCTGAGCCCTGGGGTAGGGAGAGCAGCCTTTGACAGCAGCTCTCCCAGGGGGCGGATTCCTTCCTGGGGGTCGGTGGGGTTGGCAGGGGCTGCGGCAAGTAGCCCTGACAGGTGGGTGCATCATCACAGATCTATGAGGTGGTCCGGCCCCTTGTCTCCCTGTTGCACCTCAACTGCTCAGGCCTGCAGAACTTCGAGGCACTCATGGCTCTAACGAACCTGGCGGGAATCAGCGAGAGGCTCCGGTAAGGTCCCTTGGGATGGGGGACCTGGGTCAGGCGTCAGGATTTGGAATATCCCAGCAGAGCACTTTAAAGTTTGAAGAACACTTATTGGCTTATTTTAGCCTCTTGGTGACTCCCATGCATCGTACAGATGAGGAGATAGACCAAGGACTCAGACTACCTGGGTTCAAATTCTGGGTTCCCTAATTACGAATGTGTAACCTCAGGCAAGTTATTTAACTGCGCTGTCTCAGTTTCTCCCTCTGTGAAATGGGATGATTATAGCACCTACTTCATGGAATGGTGGTGAAAATTAAATGAGAAAATATACATAAATGTTCTTAGTGTACATAGTGCCTGGTCCCTGGCATTGTGCCAAATCAAGATGTGTTAGCTGTTATTACTAATCATGACCTTGAGCACATTACTTACCACACCTACACCTTCACCATAGGGTCATGGTGAGGATTACATAAGATAATCCTGGTCAGGGTGAGTACTGAAACATAGGTGTTAGCATCATGATTACTACCACCCTGGTCTCCTACCTCCTTGTTTCAAGCATTTTTCACAATCCTGTGCTATTTCCTAGGCCTGGTTAGAAGGCTAGAAAGCACTGCAGTTTGTACCTGGTGCGGGGCAGGGTGGATGCAGAGGCTCTGAGCATGCTGCCCCTTCCACCCCTGGCCCTGCAGGCAGAAGATCCTGAAGGAGAAGGCAGTGCCCATGATCGAGGGCTACATGTTTGAGGAGCACGAGATGATCCGCCGGGCAGCCACGGAGTGCATGTGCAACCTGGCCATGAGCAAGGAGGTGAGGGTTGGTCCAGGTGTTCATGACAGGCATGAATGCAGGGGTGCCTGGGCCCTGGCTGGGCTTTGCACCCTGCTGACTCGGTCTACTCCCCCCACCTGGCCACAGGTGCAAGACCTCTTTGAAGCCCAGGGCAATGACCGGCTGAAGCTGCTGGTGCTGTACAGTGGAGAGGACGATGAGCTGCTACGGCGGGCGGCTGCCGGGGGCCTGGCCATGCTCACCTCCATGCGGCCCTCGCTCTGTAGCCGCATCCCCCAAGTGGTCAGTGCCTCTTCTTGGTGGGGGAGGGGTGGACCAGCATGATGGCAGTGGGTGCGGGTGGGGGAAGTCCTAGGACGTGTGGGTGTGTTCCTTGCCAAGGTTGAGCCTGTTGCTTGGTGGTCACACCTGCCTTGTTTCCTGCAGACCACTCACTGGCTAGAGATCCTGCAGGCCCTGCTTCTGAGCCCCAGCCAGGAGTTGCAGCACCGGGGTGCGGTGGTGGTACTGAACATGGTGGAGGCCTCAAGGGAGACTGCCAGCACCCTGATGGAGAGCGAGGTGCTAGAGATCCTGTCAGTACTGGCTAAGGGCGAGGAGAGCCCTGTCACAAGGGCTGCTGCAGCCTGCCTGGGAAAAGCAGTGGAATATAGGCTCATCCAGCCCAACCGGGATGGAGAGTGAGGGCTGCCCCTGGGCTCATGCACACACTACTGCTGCAGCACAGAGAGCCAAAACAGAAGCAGCCGTGGCTGGTGGGGGCTGGTGTTCAGAACACTCTTGCCTCTCCTCCCTAGCTGCCGTTGGATGTCCTCTGTTCTGAGTCAGCGGCTACATTCAGTCACACAGCCCTGCTCAGCCCGCACTGCCTCCAGCATCACTCAGAGGGGCCCTTTTTCTGATCTACTGCACACAGCCGGGAATGGGGAAGGCGCGTCCAGCTCAGGCCTGTGCATTCTGGGGCTTCGGGAAGGGCACATCAGCAGCATCACCAGCTGTGAGCATCACCTGAGCTTGCTAAGTAGGCCTGCCCCGACCCTCTAATAAAAGTGTGAGGGACTCAAGTGTGTGCCCCATCCTTGGGCAGGGAGGGCTGCTGTGGGTGGGAGTATCTGGAGCAGCAGCTGGGCTTGGGTGTGCGTAGCGGAGCCTTACATCCGCAGCGGAGCCGCCTCTGTGGAAGGAATCCAGTGGACTCCCCGCCCCAGGGCCCAGATGAACTGCTTAATCCTGTGCAGGGACAAGGGACAAGCCTGGGAAGCTGATCAGTAAAAAGCTATCCAGTTGTGTGGAAATAAATGGTTTTAGGTTATAGACTCCTATATGTTGGACCCTCAATACTCTATATCGTCAGTTGTCTGTGACTTCCACTCAGACAGCGCTTGGGATTGGGGTCGGTGCGCCGCGCTGGCATTCGCTTCCCTCTCAGGAAAAAGCAGGGCGTCTTGTGGCGCGGCCGGGCTGAGGGCGGGCTCAGGCGGCCCCGGGAGCCTGCTTCCGCTCTTAGGGCTGAGCTCGGCTCGACGCTCATTGGCTCAACAGAGGTAAGTGACGTGTCCCGAGCCAATCAGTGCAAGGTAACAGCAGCTTCCTGTTTGGCCTTCAGACCTGTGCGTGTCCAGTATCTAGCTGCTGCCGCTGGCCCAGACTGAAGAAGGTGGCGGAGTCCGCGCGTCTCGGGGGTCGCTCCTTGCCAACCCTTCAGCTCAAGTCTTCATGAGTGTCCCCTCAGTGGTTCTAAAACGAGCTCCGCGGCCCCGCGGGTGCCGGCAGCGGCAGGACCACCTGGTCCAACCCCTGCCTTGGTCCCACGCGCACTGGCGGTTTCGGCCCATTTCACGGCCCTGGCCGCAGCGGCCCAGCGGAAGCCTGGGGACCGGTCCGATGGAGGTCGGACCAGAGAGGCAGCCGCGGCCAGGTGAGCGCTGCCCTGCGGCCGCCCCGCCCCGCGCCGTGACGTCACCGCCCTCGCCGGCGATTGGCCCCGGGGAGGCTGCTGCAGCCAATGGCCGCCTCGCCCAGCGCGCGGCCCTTCAAACCTGGGGTCCCTGGCGGTACCCTCTGCGCCCGCGACCTGTTCCGGAGGCGGCCACTCTGCGACCTGCCTGAGGGGGTAGAGGGCACAGGGTCAAGATCAAGGTCAGAGGCCCGCCTGGGTTGGGTGTGGACACGGAAGGCGTTAGGAGCCCAGGAGCTGACTGCAGAGGCTTGGAAATGTCTGTGACATTCTGACCGAGCCGGACGCACGTGCAGTGCGCGGAAGTGGTGCAGGAACCGCCAGGCTGTGCGCCGCCTGTCTCCCCACGTAGATCCTTGGGAGCAGGCAGCTGTCCTTCCTGGCCCAGAGTAAGAGCTCTCAATAAATGCTGTGGGACGAATAAATGACTGTATAATGTCCAGTTGAAATTGTGTCTGTGCTTGAAAACCAAAAGGACGTCCAGTGATCATTTATTGTGGTCACTTCTAAGTATTGGATTTGATAGACTAATACTGTGTGCCTATTATGGTATATGCCAGCACCGAACTCTTTATTTGCATTTATTATTTATTTATTTGAGACAAAGTCTCACTTTGTTGCCCCGGCTAGAGTGTCATGGCGTCAGCCTACCTCACAGCAACCTCAAACTCCTGGGCTCAAACGATCCTCCTGCCTCAGCCTCCCAAGTAGCTGGAACTACAGGCATGTGCCACCATGCCCGGCTAATTTTCTTTTTCTATATATATATATTTTTAGTTGGTCAATTAATTTCTTTCTATTTTTGATAGAGACAGGGTCTCGCTCTTGCTCAGGCTGGTTTCGAACTCCTGACCTTGAGTGATCCACCTGCTCGGCCTCCCAGAGTGCTAGGATTATAGGCCTGAGCCACTGTGCCCGGCCTTTATTTGCATTTATTACAAACAATTGTGTGGGGTAGGTTCAAAAGCCCCGCCCCACCCCTTTGTAAAACTGAAGAAATGGAACTGGACTGGGCTTGGCTGGGACCCTGGCTGGGGACCCTCGCTGCAGGGGCAAACAAGCAGGACACTGCCTGCCAGTGCTGTCCTGCTGGCGGCTGTCTGGTGGGAAGAGCACAGATTGTGGGTCGGCTTGACTTGAGAGCAGCGCCCTGGCCCTCTCTGTATGACTTGGTAAGGGATACTTTCTCCGGGAAGTCTCTGTGAAACGGGGCAATTGTGGCTGCCAAGTGTACATAGGATAAAGTGCCTGATGCTGGGAAGGTGGAGCTGGAGGGGCCTGAGATCAAGTCCATCAGTGGCATACTCAGCTTGAACCAAGAAGGACAGGAAGGTGTCCCGCTCCAGATGGTTCAGCATCTCTGCAAACCTGGTGGGACTTTAGCCAAGGCATCTGCTCAGAGAGCATCTGTGGGGCGGACATCGTCTGCCTCCGTGCTGGGAGGATGGGATTGCCCCCATTCTACAGAGAAGGCAGCAGCAGCCCCCGCAAGGCCAGAGACTTCCAGTGTCCCGCCAGGGGCTCTCTGCGAGGGTCCCCCCAAGTTCTAGCCCTAACCCTTGGTCTCACTGCCCACCCCAGCCAGGCGGCGGCCGGCGGAGAGCGCCGTGGGGACATGGCCGAGGAGCAGCCGGGGGCCTGGTTCGGCTTCGGCTTCTGCGGCTTTGGGCAGGCGCTGGGCTCCGGACGCGGGCGCCGGCGCCAAGTGCACAGCCCCGAGCCGCTGGGCGCGGGCGTGGACATCGGCCGCGTGAGCGCCAGCTGGAGCTACACCGCCCTGGTGACCCGTGAGCGCCCCGCCCCACCTCCCGCCGTCCTGCTCACCCAGGGCAGCGCGCCCGTTCTGGTCCCCAGTCCCGTACCCCGGGGTGGGCCCCCATTCCGGCCCCTTCCCAGGAACACCCCCACCCTGCCCCTGTCTAGAGACACGCCCTGATTCTAGTCCACCGTCCTCGCCCTGCGTCCCACCCCCTCCCCAGCGGTCTCTTTCCGCCCGCGCAGGTGGAGGCCACGTGCAGCTGTCGGGCTCCGCTAGCGGCGCCGCGGGCGGCTGCAGGGACGCGTGGGCCTCGGAGGGGCTCCTCGTGGTGCTGCGCGCCGGGCCGGGGCCGGGGTCCAGGGCGTTACTGCAGGCCTGGGCGCCCGGCTCGGCCCTCCATGGGGAGCCCCTGTGGGCCCAGGACGTGGTGTCGGAGGCCGAGGGGGAAGACGGAGCGGACTGTGGGCCAGCTGGTCGCTGCCCCTGCGCCCGCGCCTCGCACCACGTGAGCGCACGCTCTGCCGGGCTTGGCAGATGCGGGCGGACGCTGGAGCTGGGGCTGAGCACGCTGCCTGCTGGCGGGGCAGTGTTCTCCTGGGGCGGGCAGGTCGGGGTGCCAGGTGAGCGCCACCTGAGTGTGACTCGGAGTGAGCCAGAGCCGCCAGCTGACCATGGTCTCCCTTGCTCAGACATGGACAGCTGGGCCACGGGACCCTGGAGGCAGAGCTGAGCCAAGGATGTTGGAGGCCTTACAGGGCCTACCCATGGCTGAGGTGGCCGCCGGCGGCTGGCATTCTGTGTGTGTGAGTGGTGAGTGACCTAGGGCTTCTCCAGACAAGCTCACAGGCTTGTCCAAACTTCTTCTCCTCTCCTCAGTTTTCGGTGGTGGCCTAACCAGGGCTCCTTTCATACTCATCCCACGTCACTCCAGCCAGTCGTGACTCCAGGATGCCTCTCAAATTCGGCCCTGGGCCTCCGCCGTCCCCCACTTGCACCTGGATGGTTGCGGTTGTTTCCCGTCTTCTGACTGTCCTCACTGCCCCTCCTGTCCGTCTGCCACCAGCCATGGCTGTCTTTCTAGACTGCAACCCAAGGGAGCATGAAGGGGCAGGGGCCAGCTGAGCCAGGGGTAACGGAGAGAGCTGCAGTTCCCAAGTGGCCATCACGTGTGCACAGAGTGGACACGGGGGGGCTGATAGTAGGGTGTGTGCCCCTGTGGTGGTGCCACAGCTGGTGACCTAGAGCCAGAATGGGGACTTTTACTGTGGATGTTGAGTCCACTACCCTGGCAGGTGCCCAGGTGCAGCCGCTTCTTGGGCTGGTAGAGCCCGTGCGGGAGGGCAGGTGGAGCGGATGGTCTTTGTGTCCAGGGCTCTCAGTCTGGCTGCTACTTAGAGCAGCGAGGACCTTAAAACACGACCAGTGTGTTCCCTGGCCCCCGCGCACTCATGTGAAGGGCCTGGCAGCCGGGCCGGAGCAGCAGCCCTGATACTAAAGTTCGCTGACAGTAAATAGTAGCTGATCTTACAAAGTGCTAAATGTGTGCCGGTGCTTTATGTATTTCTCACCTTCCTTGAGGGAGGCAGGGAAGGTGAGAGCTTCAGTAAGAGACCTTCAACAGCACCAGTGGGTTTTTTATTTTTTTAATTGTTAAATTTTTTTTTTTTATTTTGCACCCCGGCTCAGTGGTTTTGAAAGGGACACCAATGGGGCACTTCCAGGGATACATTTCTGAAATTGCAGTGGGGAGGGGGATTTAACACCAAAAGGAAAGAATGCAAATGGAAGGGTGACCTGAAGACAGAAGGGGAAGAGGACCTAAGACGAGGAAGCCACCGGGCCTGAGCGGGGCACCCTGCCCGGGCAGGGCAGGCCGCAGTCGTCCGCAGCAGCCTGTGGGAGGGTGGGGAGTTTGGATGGGCGGAGAGGTTTCACAGTCTGCTATGTGTCCACTTAATCTCTTTCAGAGACAGGGGATATCTATGTCTGGGGCTGGAATGAATCAGGACAGCTGGCCCTGCCCACCAGGAGTCTGGCAGAGGACAGGAGGACAGCCACAGGGGAAGGTGCGTCACCTGTTCTTCCTCAGCCTTCTCCCCAGCATGTGGCTGTCATTCCTGACTCCTGGCTGTGCTGGCCCGAGAGCTACGGTGCTCAAAAGGAACATGTGACAGCCTTGTCACCCCAGGATTCTGAGCTCCTTATAGGAGGGAGCATTGGAAAGGCTGATGCCAGTCTTGGCCCTCACTACACACCCCACATGCCTGTCACCTCCCAACACCTCTGTAGCAGGCAGGGCTTGGGAGCACGAGGTTTGACCCCAGAGGAGAACACGCAGCCTAGGGCCGTCCGTCGCAGTAACGAGTGCATGTGTGAACACGGGTCGGCTCCATGGCCTCCTCATCCGTGTTAGCCACCACCATTACAGTCATTGTCACGGCCACAGGACTGAAGGAAGATGGTGCTGAAGTGCGGAGCGCAGCGGAGGGTGAGGAGGGAGCCCCTGCCCCCTTCATAGCCATCCAGCCCTTCCCGGCGCTGCTGGATCTGCCCCGGGGCGCAGACGCCGTCCAGGCCAGCTGCGGGTCCCGGCACACAGCTGTGGTGACACGTGAGTGGGGCCGGGGGCTGGTTCAGGATGGAGCAGAAAGGCTTCCCCACCCGGAAGAGGGCGCGATCAGCTTAGCAGCCATGTTTTAAGGCTTCTGGGCCGTACCCTGAGCAGCGCCCCACTCCCCGCGTGGCTTACCAGGAGCCCCCAGCCCGTCAGGCCCAGAAGATTCTCCTGCGGGGCGGCTGGTGCTCTCCATCCTCCCTGCCCAGGCACAGGCTCCTCCTCTGACGGCAGGGCCTGCGGCTGAGACTCCACAGCCCACTCGCTGACACACAGACAGATACACTTCCTTTTCAGTCTGGGTCCCTCACCCCCCACGTATGCTTAGACAGCTGTTAGAATACGTTGTTCGAGGCCACGCAAATCTCGGGAGGATTATATGGGTGGTGCCAAGACAGGTTAGCTAATGCCTCGGCGAAGAGTGGTAGTGACGGCTAATACTGTCCTCTGGTTTCAGGAACCGGGGAGCTCTACACCTGGGGCTGGGGTAAGTAAAAGGATTGTTTTTGTGACCCTTAAACCAAGGGGAGGAAAGACCAGGGAGTGCAGGGCGGGTGACAGAGCCACAAAGACTAACAGAAACAGGAGCTTCCTCGGGTCACTGGGACTGAACAGCCGTGTGCTCCCCGCTGGGAGAGAGATGTAGGCACACGCAGCAGAAAGCCCCAGACCAAACGGGAGAGACGTCGGGAGAGGGTGTCGTGCTGCCCGTCTGTCTGTCTGGAAGGAGTAATTAGCCGGCGTTCACCAAGCTGCAGTTACTCTGGCGCTGGGCAGAGGAAAAGATAAAATGGAAATCTCTGCTCTGAACGTCTTAGCTCAGGTGGCAGGGAAGGAAGCCTGGAAGAGCATCTTGCCTGGAATGGCCAGCCGTTGCTGGCCTCTTGGGCACCCGCAGGTTTGCCTGGCCCTGGAGGCTTCATGGCTCTGGGTCCCTTCGAGTCACGAGTCACGGAGCAGACACCAGTGGGGGTGGGCAGGCATAGTGCCAGCACGTCACTTAACCGGCTGAGTTACTTCCTGGAGGGGCCAGGCAGCAAGGGGCTTGTTTCACTCTAGGTAAATACGGGCAGCTTGGCCACAAGGACGCCGCCAGTTTGGACCGGCCCTGGCGCGTGGAATACTTTGTAGATAAACAACTCCAAGTAAAGGCTGTCACCTGTGGGCCCTGGAACACCTACGTGTTTGCTGTGGAGAAAGGGAAGCACTGACGTGCTCGTCCATGTATAAGAAACACCTGCCACTCCCACGCAGGCCAAGGCAAGCCACTGCCAGCGCCCCTCCCATCACAGTCCTTCACCTAGAGCAAGGTCCGTACCTGGTCTGCACTTCAGAAGCACCTGGAGAAGGTGAACACTCCGATGCCCAAGGCTGGCATCTCAGACGACGAAATCAGGCCCTCTGGGTGCAAGGCCTAATTTTGGGGGAGGGGGGAGGATGTTAAGGCCAGCCCCCTCCCCACCCGGCCGCCTCAGGGGGTTTCCGTGTGCAGCCAAGACTGGGAACCATTTGAGGTCGTGTTTTCATTCAGAACTTGAGCGCCTCTGCGTGCACCCTCACAACGTAGCCCAGCCTGTCTGCTTTTGAATGTTAGATAAATGGAATCGTGTGTTCTTTTGCATCATTTTTTCACTCAACATTGTGTGATCTGTTGCGTCCTGGAGCTCATGCCATTTTGTGCTGGCTGGTGTTCCACTGTCGGGTATACCTCGAGCTACATACTCTTTTGTTGACAGTTATTTTTATTGTTTCTAATTTTTGGTCATTACACATAACACCTTCACGAGCAAGTTGCGCGCGAGGTCTTCTGCAAGCATTCAGGGTTGAATTGGTAAGCCAAGGGATACCTTTAGCTTCGCTAGGTAACTATGTATTCCCACCGGCAGCGCGGGCTTTACTGCAGCTCAGACTTCAGGTGGCTGTGTTAGGGACATATTTGGGGTCTCGGCTCCTCTCGGGACAAGGGTGCCCTGCTTTGGCGCTGGGTCAAGCAATCACTCCACCTGGGAGAAAAGCGCGAGCACTCGCTTTTGGTGTTGCCCCACCCTTCATCCTGTCCCGAGCAACTGCTGCACCTGGGGAAGGAGGGAACGCCCCAGCCCAGGCAGGACAGGATTTAGAAAGTGACCTGGAGTGGCCAAGGGCACTTATTATGCCATCAGCTTGAACCTGCGTCGTGGTTCACCCCCAAAGGTGGGCTCTCAGAGAGGGAGCTTGTATATGCATACATATATATACACACGCTGATGGAATTTTCAGGACACCTGTTGATCATTTGCTGACATCCCGGGCCTCCCCAGAGCCCGGCCCGAGACTGCGTAATAAAAGGAAGCCGAGAGCCCAGAGCGACTGGGTGGGTCACCGAGTCGCGCTCTTGCTCCACACTCGGGGAGACAGATGCATTTTGTTCTGCCATAAAGAGCTGCTCGCGTGAAACTGCTTCCTGCCTGGGCTTACTCTGTCGTACTGGCCCTGCCGGTGATGTTCCCGGACCTGACACTTTGGTGGGTCTGGTCCTTCATCTGCCGGGAGCACACCACGGACGGCGGCGGGCACACTCCCAGCCCGGCGATCTCCGCGGAGGTAAGCCAGCTCGCGTCTCCGTGGCAACGCTGACTGGGGTAACCCTGTCTAGGAGCTGCCTGCCTTACCGTGGCTGGCCACCCACTCGCAGGTGACAGTACTTCTACAAACGACCGGGGTGTTACACCAACAGAGAGCCCTTACGCTCAAAAGAAAAACAAAAAACAACTAGAGGCTTTTGGGTTTGAGGGGCCAGTGCACAACCCCTCTTCCTGCAAACCGGAAAGGGGACATCCGGACGGGTCCCTCAGCCCCACGGCCCAGGTCGTTACCTGGGGACGCCCAGCTCTAACAGACCCCAGCTGGCAAGATTTCCTCCCCCACCCTCTCCCCCTCCTTGCCGTCTACATAGGCGCACAAGGCTCAAACCTCCCTTCTAACACCCCTCTGGGGCACATTCTTTCAAAACGGGACGAGTTTGATCCAGATGCTCCGAAGGAAAAATGCTCCATCTTCTGCACGACCGCCGGCCACAGGACAGGCTGGAAGGCGGAGAACGGTGGCCCCACACGGGACGCCACCTCTCCCCACGGTCTTACAATCGGGCGTTTTTTTTGCAAAAGCAAAGGAAAATGGGCTGAAATACGGTATGGGCAGGCTTTCATCTTTGGTTGTGCCAGGGATGTTTCCATTAAGAGACTGGTGTTCGCCGCGTCGGCGTGCAGTTGGCTTCAGAGTCAAGATCGTCTGGAGAGAATTTCTTCGTGCACGGCTCCAATGCTTTCTTTTCACCCCAGGTCTCGCTTGAGGCAGAGGAGCGCTTCCTTGGTAGAATGCCGAAGGTGACCAACAGCGGCGCTGCAGCTTGGGCCCGCTGTTTTACTTCTTCTGCGTGGGCCTGGGCCACGCTGCCCCTGCCACCTCCCTGCGGCCTTCCACATCCTGGGTGGGGCCTGAGCAAGGCCGACTTCCAAGAGCTGCGCTTAATCGTGCTTGGGGCCCTGGCTTTTTACTTGCAGACCTTGGAAATAATCCAGTGGATTTTGTTCTCTCTGCCTTAGATACAGAACCACAGCATGCAGCTGAGTAAAACCAGCAGCATAGGAAAATCTGAAACTAGCCCTGCAGTGGGGCGACTTAGTTCCCTTGCAGGCCTCGTTGTCCCGTGATATTGAACCCTAAGCATCCATAACTTCATAATCTGTGGTTTCATGACTTACATATATTTATCAACTATATATGTGTATATAGCCTGCCTTATATTTTTTAGAGCAGGGTCTCATCTTCCTGCTGGAGTGGCAGTGGTGTGATATGTCACTGTAGCCTTGTCTGGCCTAACCATCCTACCTCGCTTCCTAATTGCCCGGATACGGTGGTGTACCACCATCCATATTTTTATTATTTTTTTTGAGACAGGGTCTCGCTATGTTGACCAGTGTTTCAACAGTCCTGGCTCAGGGTGCCTACCGAAGGCTCCCAAAGTGTGGGATGACAGATGTGAGCCACCACGTGGCCATTTTTCATAGAGATGGGGTTCCCTTTCTCGTCCAGGCTTCATGATACTATGCCAAGCCTGCTCACCCAGCCCCACTTTCACCTCACGTGTTCTCACCCTCGGTCTTTGAGAGCACCCAGGGGACATGCTGCCTGCCTTCTTGTGTCATGTGGTCTGCTGAATATTGGACCCAAGCTGCACGTCCTACTCCCGACCCGTGTTTCGTTACTTCATGGCAAAAGGACTTCGTAGGTGTGATTGAATGAAGGGTTTGAGAGTGGGTCACCCTGGTTACTGGGTGGCATGTATCACGGCGGTCCTAAAGAGGAGGGAGGGTCGGTCAGGGGTGGTGATGTGACGGGGCAGGTGGGAAGGGGCTCGAGCGTCGGGGAGGGGCAGGGGCAAGGGCAGCAGTGTCTCGAAGCTGGAAAGCAGGGACGCTACCAGTGTCCAGGAGGGGACACAGCGTGCCAAACTCGTTTAATATTCTGACTTCCCAAATGCAGATGTGACCGTGTGCTGTGTTTGATTTTAGCTGCTGATTGCCTTATGGTGTTTGTTCAGAAGGGATGGGACAAGATACAGTGTTTTAGGGGCGGATGTACTGCTCACTTCCGGCGCTTGCTTTGCTCTCCGCCTCCTCATCCTGGCACCGGCGACCTGCTTGTGCGGATCGGATGAGGTGGGCGTGTTCGGGCGCGTGTGGCGGACCTCTGCCTTTGCTGGGCACTGCACTTGCACGAGGTCCGACACGGCCGCACTTCTGTGCGGCTCGCTCTCCATGGGTTTTACGAGTGAACCGAGTCTGGGGTCTTGCTTTCACCAGCATATGAGGCATCTAGCTTTAATGAGAGCAGTGTTCGGCCTCGGGGGTCTGTGAATACATACTCACATGGTGTGCACACTCGCCTCAGTGTTCCACTTTGCTCATATCTGTGCTCCCTAACTCAGGGACGCTCGGGGGCCGGTTTGTTTCCGTACAAGGGAGGCGGCTCCCCATGCGGGCACCTTGCTGTTCCTGTCAGTTCTTCTGGACCGGCGTTCTCGGCTCCTCACTGCCTCATCCTCCCGAGGGGAGACAGACGCTCTGTCGCGGTGCGACAGCTTAGCTTGGCGCAGTAGGATGTGTGCCTCAGGGTGTGGTAGTTTTTGAATCCAAGCCCTGGCCCATTAGCCGTTAGTTAATAGAGTTAACAAACCAAACGGATCCTTGGAAGTGCGTCTGTATCGCGACTCTTAGCTGGACTCGCACTCGCTGTCACCACGTAAGAGCCCGGAATATTTCAGTGTCTACGGCTAGTGACACTTGAGCTTGGGAACAACTCCAGTAGTTAGTTCGGTAAGGCCAAGGTGTGCTTTTAGCGGAATGAGGAATCGCCGCTCCGCGCCACCGCATCCACTGCGCAGAAGCGGTAATAGATATAGTTCGTGGCCCTGGCGCGTCGGCGCGGTGGCTCACGTATATATCTGCCTACGCTCTCTGGCGAGGGGCCGAGTCGGGCAGATGTTTGAAGGTAGGATCATGGTGATGGTTCGGAGACGAGGTGGACCAGCACTGAGCAAAGTGGACCCCGTTCTACTATAACAGAAAGAAAGTAATTGCAACTAAGTACTATATATAGAAAAAATTAGCGGGCTTTGTCTGTGCCTGTCAGTCCAGCTACTCGGGAGGCTGAGGCAGGAGATTGCTTGAGCCAGGGTTTGAGGTTGCTGTGAGCTAGGCTGACGCCACGGCACTCACTCTAGCCTGGGCAACAGAGTGAGACTCTGTCTCAAAAAGAAAAAATTTTTTTTTAAATCTTTGACTTTTTCTTTTTGAGACAGTCTCACTCTGTCACCTGGCCTAGAGTGCCATGGCACCATCCTGGCTTTGTTATTAGAGTAATGCTGGCTCCATAGAATGAGTTAGGAAGTGTTCCCTCTTCAATATTTCGGAAGAATTTGAGGATTCCTTTTAGTTTTTCATTAATTATTGGTAGAATTTACCATTGAGCCATCAGGTGTGGTTTGTCAAGAGATTTAAAAAAAAAAGTTTTATTAAGGTGTGTTGATATACAAAAAACCACATATTTAATGGATGCAATTTGATGAGTATTAGGAGATATTTGATTACTTATTAAATATCCTTACTGATTCTAGGTCTATTCAGATTTTCTATTTCTTCATGATTCAGTATATGGTAGGTTTTGTGTTACTAGAAATTTGTTCATTTTATCTAGATTATTCATAATATTCATAATATTCAAGAGATTATTCATAATATTCAAGAGATTATTCATAATATTCTCTTATAATCCTTTTTATTTCTGTCAAATCAATAGTAATGTCCTCACTTTCTGATTTTAATGATTTGCATCATTTTTCTTCTGTAGCTAAAGGTTTGTCAATTTTGTTACTTTTTGAAGAACCAACTTTTGGTTTTGTTGATTTATTTTTTTTCCTCCATTGTTTGGTTTTCCCTTATGTGTATCTGCTCTAATCTTTATTATTTCCTTCCTTTCACTACTTTTGGGTTTAGTTTGTTCTTTTTCTAGGTCCTTTAGTTGTGAAGTTAGGATGTTGATTTGAGATCTTTTTAAATATGTTAACAGCTATAAATTTATCTCTAAGTATTGCTTT